AAGGCTCATAAATAACATACTGAGGAAACGTAAACACTAACTTCAAGAAGAGAAATGGGATGTCAAGGCACATAGAAGGCTTCAGTTGGTAGTGAGATAGGTGCTTCCTTTTAATATGGCTTACCTATTTTTATACTGTAAGTTGAAGAACATTAGATTGGAAAGGAAACTTAGCTTTCTCCATCCTGGAACTACCATTAAATTATTTGATTCCACTTGTGTCTAAACCTGTTGGATTGGTGGAAGATGAAGGTTGGGACTAGATAACCTTTTTCACTTGCAGTGAATCCTGATCCTAGAGTGAAGAAAATGTTTCTAGGTTTTTGGTTTTCCCCTCCTTTGTTTCTGCTTTCATGCTAACAGGGGTCCCATCAAGCTCAGAGTCCTGCAGGTCTGCAGGGATGAGGAACGTCACCCTGCAGCAGCTCAGGACACCAGGTTCATGTGTGATGTCCGCAGAGCAGTGTTCTTATACATGTAAAACCACCACACTGACCTCAGGTGCAGTCAGACCTCAACTTGGCTTTGCCATTCCCTCTGCATAGAACACCAATTTATCTTTCAAGCCCACCTGTGCAATCCCAATGGTTACACCGTTCTTTCCAGATGACATATAGCACATGAAGTCAGTGGCCTGTGATCATTCAAACCATGAAGTTCTTGCCAGTCTTGTACATCCCTGGCACCAAGCATGTATACTACTTGTCACAGCTATTTGTACCAGGGACAAAAAGACACAAGGTTGAGGATAGTGGCACACATCTGTATTCTCAGCTACTTGGAAGCAGAATAAGGTGGTAGTCTGAGGCCAGTTTAGGAGGGAAAAAAATAAAATGAAGAAACAATAAAATGAAGACAAGGTGCAGTAGAACCTTTTCAAGATCCTGAGTTGTGTCCACTAACATATAGAATCGAGTATGGCTAGGTACTGGTGGCTCACATCTATAATCCTTGCTACTCAGGGGGCTGAGATCTGAGGATTGCAGTTTGAAGCCAACCCAGGCAGGAAAGTCCTTGAGACTCTCATCTCTAATTAATCACTCAAAAAAGCCAAAAGTGGAGCTATGCTCAAGTGGTCCCAAGCAAGAAGAATGGAGACAGTGTCCAGATCCTGAGCTCAATCCTCAGGACCAACACCAAAAAGGAAAAAAGAATCAAGTTATGTTACCTGTCCCCATAATGTACCTGACCACAAAACTAAAAGGCTGCTGACAGAAGTTGAACCAATTGACATGATTAAACCCTGTGCTTTTCATCCAAGTCATGTGTATAGCTTCAAGGGACCTCATTTAGCGGTTTAATCCATCCAACCTGCCCCCAAAGGCGCCCAAATAACCTGGTATTTATGGACTCTGAGTCGGCACATACAAAACCTTGTGGACAAAGGACTTCCTGGTTCCTGTCTAAATTTCTATGTACAGATGAAAGCATCTCAGCTACAAAGAGGTCAAGGACTTTGCATAGAAATAAGTGCAATCACAGCTAAACCTTTGTCAGTAGCCCCTCTCCCCCCGCCCCAGCCTTGCCCCACGGCCTTTCACTGAAGTGCTGGGACTGAAACCAGGGCCTCATGCTAGGCCAATAGTGCACCACTGAGCTATAATCCCTCCCCCATTCCTTCTGGGCACTACTGTTTGTGTGTGTGTATGCGCGCTGGGGCTCCAACTCAAGGCCTAGGCACTGACCCTGAGTTACTTTGCTCAAGGCTAACACTCTACCACTTGAGCCACAGCTCCACTTTTTTTAAGAGTCTACCCAGATTGGCTTTGAACTGCCATCCTCAGATGTCAGTCTCCTAAGTAACAAGGATTACAGGTATGAGCCACCAGTACCCAACTCACTCTTCAGCTTTTAACAGCAGCTCAGATACTACCTAACTTTAGGCAATGTTGCCCTACTGTGGTTCCTTCCCCCTAGGATGTGTGAATACGTGGACCACCTGCATGAACATTTCAAGTATCCAGTGATAATCAAGAAGGCCTCCTACATGCCTCCTAAGGTAAGCGGGGGCTCGGGACACCTTGTAGACAGACATGCCACCAGCCACCCCTGTGCCTAAAACACAAGAACATGTGGCTCTTTAGTAAGTCTATATGAATTTAAGGCCCGAGGATCAGAGCTGAGGCCTTAAAACATCCCTCCTGGTGGGCACTAGTGGCTCACCCCTGCAATCCTAGCTACTCTGAAGGCTGAAATCTGAGGATTAGTTGGCTGGGCAGGAAAGTACTTGAGATTTTTATCTCCAATTGAGAAGAAGAAAAAAAAAAAAGCCAGAAATGGAGCTGTGGCTCAAGTTTCAGAGCACTATCCTTGAGCAAAAAACTCAGGGAAAATGCCAAGGCCCTGTGTTCAAGCCCCAAGACCTGCACCAAAAACAAAAACAAAAACAAAAACAAATCCACATTCTGGAGGGGGAAAAAAAACCCCAAACTACACCTGGCACCATTTATGTTAGTGATCCTAAAAGGTTTGACTTCAACTGTGTAATCTGGGCCATTTATCCCATTTTTGTTCAGATGACAGCTTATTTTCATCAGCTATCAAAGGAAGTTTGATTACTTTGGTAATTTTTGGTAATCTTGAGTAGGCAATTGAGTGTAGCCTTCTGCTCTTTCAGACAATCTGAGTTTCTTAAATATGGAGCTGTCTGGCTGATTTTTGAACATTTCTAGTAGCAGGGAACAAATAGGCATTTTTATCCCTTGTAGTCATTACCATCATCCACTTGATGTCTTTGCTAGGCTGCTGGCTATTCCACAGAAATGAAGGAGGAATCAGTGCAGAAACACCAATACCCACATGGTGAAGTCTGGAAGAAACTCCTGGCTCAGGAAGATTAAGTGTTCGGCCCAAATGCCTCTCTTTTTATCTCTTAAATGAAGACTTCAAACTTCATCCTTTCCAATTCAGTTAAACATCATGTTAGCCTCATGAATCAGCTCATTGTGATTACTTTGAAAACATCAATACAGGCCAGGTGGCTCATGCCTGTAGTCCTAGCTACTGAAGAGGCTGATCTGATCATGATTCAAAGCCAATCTGGTAGAAAGTTCCCATGAGGCTCTTCAATCTGGGTGCATCAAAGGGAAGATGATTTCACAGATTAGTATGGCAGCCCTTCTCTCTCAGCTGGTTTATTCATGACTGGTACACTAACACTTGACCTATGCCTCCAAATCTATTTTTTGCTAGTTAGTTGGGGGTGGAATCTTACACTCTTCTGCCCCAGCTGGCTTTAAACCTCCATCTTCCAGGTCTCAGCCCCCTGAGTAGCTAGGACTACAGATGTGAGCCTCTGGTGGCTAGCAGCATCCCTTTTCCTGATCATACTTAAGAAAATTAACACTATTAAAAAAAAATGGAGGAAATTGAAGGAAATGGTTCATAGATTACCCCTTCCTTCACTTTCCCTGAGTTTTTTCCCCTACCATCTGTGCCCACAAGTTACAGAGCTCATTTTCCACGCAGTATACAGGGTACTACTGGTGAGTCACACCTGTAATTCTAGTTGTAAGGTATATTAAATAGGTAGGTTTCAATAGCCAATTAAGAGAACAGCACTCGGTATTCAGGCAGGAAAAGAAGTTTATTTACCTATCAGCCGCCGTGCTTAGCAGAGAGAGAAGGCCAAAAGGGGCCACTCACCCCCAGGCCAGGACTTATCTAGGTCAGGGATGGGAAGAGGTGTGGCCACACTGGATCCAGATGTGACCTCAGCGCCCTGGTCCTTCCCGTGCCTGGGAGGCGGCCCAGGATGTGACCTAGCAGGAGGGGGAAGTGACTGCTTCCAGGTGTGCCTGTTACCTAGGAACACAGATACCAGATGGAAACTTAGCCAAGAGGTAGGGAAGTGTCTACACAGGGCCTGTAGGGCTCAGAACAGACTTTACACTAGGTACTCAGGCATCTGAGATCTAAGAATTGCAGTTTGCAGCTAGCCTGGGTAGGAAAAGTCCAGGAGACTCTTATCTCCAATTAAGCGTGCACATACACACGTACACAAACATATACACACACATACTCACGCGTGCACACACACACACACACACACACACACGCACACACAGCCACAAGTGGAGCTGTGGCTCAAATGGTAGAGCACTAACCTTGAGCAAGAAAGCTCAGGGACAGTGCCCAGGCCTTGAGTTCAAGCCCCAGGTCCACAAAAAGACAACAACTAAATAGCCATTTTATTTTAATATAAAAATGCAGCTAGAGGGCTGGGAAGGTGGCTCAGTGCTTGCCTTGCATGCATGAGGCTCTGGGTTCGATTCCTCAGCACCACATAAGCAGAAAAGGCCAGAAGTGGAACTGTGGCTCAAGTGGTAGAGCATTAGCCTTGAGCTGAAGAGCTGAGGGACAGCACCCAGGCCCAGAGTTCAGGCCCCACGACCGACAAAAAAAAAAAAAAAAAGCAGCTAAAATAGATAAATCATGGAAAAACAGAGCAAAATAACATTTATAACGTATATTGTACCCTGCTAAAAAGCATGTATTTGAAGGTTCAATTTTAAACAGGAACTGAGCAAATAGAAGACACAATGGAAAAAAGGGGCAAATAAAAAAAAGAATGTTCTTTATTATAGCAGTATACAAAACAAAATATAACTTTATAAACATTTATAAGCACCCTGTACGTTAGGATTGATGGTGTTATTTCAAGTTCAGAAAATTAGCTTAAGCAGTTAATGTCACCAGCCTTCATGAATGCCTGGGCTTGAAATAATCCCACATATCTGTAGTTAACTCACCTCAGCATCTCATGCACCCTAGTGAGCTCACCCAACTCAACAACACCTTCCATGACTAAAAGAAACAGCAGCAGGGCGCTGGTGGCTCATGCCTGTAATCCTAGCTCCTCAGGAGGTTGAGATCTGAGGATCCCGGTTCAAAAATAGCCGAGGCAGGAAAGGCCGTGAAACTCTTATCTCCAACAAACCACCAGAAAACCGGAAGTGGCACTATAGCTCAAGTGGTAGAGTACTCGCCTTGAGCTGAAGAGCACAGGGACAGAGCTCAGGCCCAGAGTTCAAGCCCCACGACCACCAAAAAAAAAAGAAACAGCAATATCCTTCAACACTAATAAGTAGTAACTGGTAAGTTACTCACAGATTTTTGACCTCTGTAGCTGCTTTTTCCTTTAAAACAAAAGGAATTTTCACCTGGGTTTCTAAAGGCTGGCAACACCTTTGTAATAGCTTCTTTGAAAGTGCTCTAAACAGCCATTTCCATTTTAATAGTTGGATGAGGATTATACCCTTCAATCTGAAAGTCTTCAACTTTGAAGTCATCAATTGTCTCCACTTTTCGAAGGATTTTAAGCTTTGGGAAAGGTCTTGGTTCTCGCTGAAGCTAAAAGAAAATCAGGTCATTATTTCACAATACAGATGCAGTGTGCTTAAATTCTGCTCCCCATGTCCTTTATGAGAGAAGCACACAGTATTTTATCAACACCATAGGTACCTACTTCCTGGAACCACTACTGAGCATAACCACCAGGTCTCGGTATTTTGTGATGTTATACAGCCTCAGATGGTTCACCAGATATGAGTACTTACTATAAATCCTAGTAAATTTATTACACATGTGGACCCCGCCTTTTTGCTTTTCCATCTGTAACTTACAAGTGCATTCAATATGGCAATATGGTTGCACTGGGCTCCATAATTCCCATCCCAAAGGACCATGGCATAAAAAACAAAAGGAGGCATCTGTTGACAATTCATAGAAAGGGATACCAGCCAAGACTCCTGGGATGCATGCACACACATAGTAGCACTTAGGACTCTAACATTAAGGCATGACCTCACATTACCATGTCCCTCATGATAGAGCAGATGGACAGAGAGCAGCTGATCTACCTGCAGTTACCTCTACTCAAAAGACCTAACCCAAATAGGAGGAACTTAGGTATGTTATCTGAAAGGGACTAATGTTTTATTTCCTTTGGGGCTTATAATGCAGATGTGTTTTGTTTGTCAGTGGAGGGCTCAAACTCAAGGCCTGGGTGCTACTCCTGAGCTTTTTGCTCAAGGCTCAAGTACTGTTACCACTTGAGCCACAGCTTCACTTTAGCTTTCTTGGGTGCTTAATGGAAGTAACAGTCTCAGGGACTTTCCTGCCCAGGCTGGCTTTGAATTGCAATCATCGTATCTCAACCTCCTGATTAGTTAAGATTACAGGAGTGAGCCTCCAGCGCCTGGCATATTTTCATTGATCATTTCAAGTCATCATTTGCTGGCTACTACAGGGGTGGAGAAGGGCCAAGGGCCATTGGATTCCAGGGCCATACAAAATTATCAATACAGAAAGAGGACTGTGGGAAGCCAATATGAAACAAAGGAGGAGCATCTGTCCCATCATGTACCACATGAGTTCTCTGGCCTTACGTGGCCGAGGCCAGACAATCCCCACCCCATCTAGGGATCGGAACAGACAAGCCCTTGCAAGTTATGACTTAAACACTGTATCTGACACAAAATTAAGAATGTTGGCATCTCAGAACTCCTTCAAGTAAAAATATGAGTTAAAATGCCAACTCAGGGAAGATCCCAAATGTGGTTCTTCCTTTCTGGTACTCAGAACCTTTTAGCACCTGTCACATTCAGTGACTATGGTTGCTGAGGTCAGCCTTGTCCCAGCCCACCACACTTCCCTAACCCAAAGCCCTGCAGCTGGGGCATGACATATTTACCTTAGACATAGCATCAAGCAAAGTGCTTTTGATGTAAGGGTTGCCCCACAAAAATCAAGAAAAGATGCCAGGGCTGGGAAGGTGGCTCAGTGGTAGATCGCTTGCCTTGCATGCATGAGGCCCTGGGTTCGATTCCTCAGCACCACATAAGCAAAAAGAAAAAAGCCGGAAGTGGCACTGTGGCTCAAGTGGTAGAGGCTAGCCTTGAGCTGAAGAGCTGAGGGACAGCACCCAGGCCCAGAGTTCAGGCCCCATGACCGGACCCAAAAAAAAAAAAAAAAGATGCCAAACACAAAAGAACATACTACATGCCGAGAGCAGTGGCTCATGCCTGCAATTTTAGCAATTTAGGAGGCTGAGATCAAAAGATCACAGTTTGAGGCCAGCTCAAGAATACATGTAAGACCCCTTTCTCAATCAATAGCTGGGCATGATAATGTACATTTATATCCCAGGCTGGTTAGTTACTTGGGAGGCTGAGATCAGGAGGCTCATAATTCTAGGCCAACCATGTGCTTTGTAAAAAGTTCACATGATTCTGTCTCCATGGAAGAAGCTTGGCATGGCAGTACATACCTGTCATCCCAGTTACTGTGAGAAGTGTAAAATAGGAGGACTGCAGTTCAGATGTGTGCCTAGGCAAAAAGTAAAACCCTATCTCAAGAAACAATGCAAAGGGGCTGGGAAGGTGGCTCAGTGGTAGAGTGCTTGCCTTGCATGCCTGGGTTCGATTCCTTAGCACCACATAAGCAGAAAAGAAAAGCCGGAAGTGGGGCTGTGGCTCAAGTGGTAGAGTGCTAGCCTTGAGCTGAAGAGCTGAGGGACAGAGCTCAGGCCCAGAGTTCAGGCCCCACGACCGGACCCCAAAAAAAAAAAAAAAAAAGAAAGAAAGAAACAATGCAAAAAATTGCTGGGGTGTGCTTAGTGGTAGAGTACTTGCCTAGAAAGTTTGAGTCCCTGAGTTCAAGTCCTAGTACCATCAAACAAAGAATATAACATGTATCATTCTTACCTGAATTTTCAGTGGCTCAATGTGATTCAAGTAAATATGTGCATCTCCCAACGTATGTACAAAGTCACCTGGCTAAATAAACAATGGGAGAAAGCAGAACATTGTTAGTTTCAATTCCTTTAAAATGTCGATCAATTACACACTATATAGAGTACACAAACTACCCAAGGTTTTGTTTCGTGTAACATGAGTACCACAAGAGTGGTCCTATATGAGCCTGTTAGATCACAAAGATCTCACAAGACAGGAAAGCCCTAGAGTGAGCCAGTTCACATCTTTCTCTCTCCAATGTTCCTACCAATCAGAGCACACTGTTCCCCGTAAAAGAACTGAAGAGCTCAGAGCACTTGGCTCCACCTTTCTTTCCAAGAGCATCCTACCTGCAAGCCTGTGATGTGTGCAATCATGTAGGTGAGCAGGGCGTAGCTGGCAATGTTGAAGGGCACACCCAGGCCCATGTCTCCAGACCTCTGGTACAGCTGGCAGGACAGCTCCCCATTCACCACATAGAACTGGCAGAGGGCATGGCAGGGAGGCAGCGCCATCAGAGGAAGATCTAAAGAGTAAGTGCAGAGGGAAAGGTGCTATCAGTAAGGGAAAACAGAAGCAGAAGCTGGCTCAGATGGTAGATATCAGGAAAACAGTCCCCGGACACAGCCATGCCCACCACCACTTCCCATCAAGTGGTACCAGATTCCCCCCAACCCTCCAAAAAAGCTCCAAGTTGATGGAAAGTTTGTCAGTGTGAAATCTCTGCAGATGTATATTTATGCGGAACCAGTATTTGTCCACCGGGGACTGAGATGAAGGATTTCTGCTTCCATAGCAGCACCAAATACAGGAGGAATTATTTCATTAGCAGGAGCCATTAGGAAACAGTTCCTGTGCACATCCTTCTCTATTAAGTCTCTTTTGTGGATGCAAATATCCCATCCTAGGTTCTTATTACACCCTGGCAGAGTCTAAAATTACAATATAATTGCTCAGATAGTGAGATAGAGGTGACCTGAAACTTTATCTGCCCCAAATTAAAATGTTAAAAAAAATCTTAGGGCCAGCAATTATGTTACAATGCAAAACCAAAACCATAGCAGCAAAAGAAAACCCTAACTGTACTTTAAAAAAATCGTAGGGATGGTGTGCCTATCATCACAGCTACATGAGAAGTAGAGACAGGAAGATCAAGATTCAAGGTTCATTTGGTAAAATGTGAGATTCTATCTCAAAAGAAAAAAAAAACCCAAGATGTGCATGGTTGCTCATGCCTGTAATCCAAGCAGAAATATGACGATCTTAGTCTGCGGCCAGCCCAGGCAAAAGCACAAGATACTACTTGAAAGACAAACTAAAGCAAAAAGGGCCAGAGTATAGCTCAAACGCTATAGTACCTACCTAGCAAGCTTGAAGCCCTGAGTCCAGGCTCTAGTACTGCCAAAAACCAAACATAATAAACCATAGGTATATTTGCATAGACAATCTAAGGCTCTTTTGGAATAAGAACAAATGCTTAAATTAAGATGTGAGCCCAAACCCATATAAGGGTGAATTTGGGGTGAAGCATGACCACACCAGCTTACTTGACAGCTTTGTAGCTAGGAGGGTTCTCAGGGTCCTTGGTCACAGTGGTGCCTTGCACATGTTATCCCCCGAGCTAACTAGGCTAACACAGAAAAAGATGGCTGGGATGTCCTCTACCTTTCGGGTTCCAGGCACACATGATGATCCGACGGTCATCAGGGTTGGTTTTGATGGTGTCGATCACCTTTTGCAGCTGGTCTACTCCTTGACCTGTGTAATCTGCAAATTGTCCAGAAGAAAGGACGTGTTTATTCATAGTATCTCACAAGGTGGCCCCGAGGTCATCTCTTACAGGCCTCACTCCATGTTCCTCCCTGACCCAAGGTTATACGACAGCCAGCACATTCTGTGCCTCTCTCACATCTCAGTGGGTTGAGTTCAAGGCCCTAGCTGAGTTCCTGAGTCTGTTTTCTGGAGCTGTGATGGTCTGTTTTCCTGTATATCAGTCTCTTATATTTTTGGTCTGTACAATTTCATTTTCTCCCCTAACCTTTCCCTCTAAGTGGTGGTTTGGATATAGTGTATGTCCCCTAAGGGTTCATGTGTTGAAATTTAATCTTCATTGTGAGGTGTTTAGGAAATTTAATCCAATGATAGTGTTTAGCAACTAAGCCTTTGGGAGGAAGCTAAGCCCAGATAAAGTCATCAGGGCAGAAGCTCCATGGTTTTATAGGAGGGAGAGACCAGAAGAGACACACACATGCTTCCTCTGTCTTGTCCTTTGCTATCCCGTGTCACCTCAGGATTCTGCCATTAAGAAGGCTGTCACCAGATGTGAGCACTTGAACCTCCAGAACCATGATCTAAATGAGTAAGTCTCTTTTCTTTGAAATTAGTTTGGTATAGTTATAAAGTAGTAGCTTTCAAGTAGTTTGGTATAGTCATAAAAAAAAATAAAATAAAATAAAGGGCTAAGAATGTGTCTCAGTGGTCCAGTGCTTGCCTGACATGCAGGGAATCTGGGTTCAATTGACAGCACTGGGGGAAAAGAAAAATCAAAACAAAAAACAGACTAATCCACTATCTCCAATCTCAGCTATTTTAGATTCTTCTAAAAATTCTGTAGGACTTAAGTCTGTACCCAGCAAACCTTCTGGGCACATGTCACCGATACAATCTAGTTCATTCTTGCCCCACACAAGCATGGACCTTCCACAGAAGACAGCATTGCATAGACCATGCCTCCTTTCTGTGACCTAGACACCACCCTACCCACGCTTCCATCAACAGTCCTGTACACAATTCAGTGACTAAACACACCATTGACTTGTAGATATTAAGAAATTTCAAAGATTTTCATGATTAGGTACTTTTCTCCCAGTTCAGGGCTCTAATTCCCTGCTCCCTTTTGAGATGTGCCTGGAAGCTGAGAAGCGATCTGTTAATGAAGAGCACAGCTTCCTGCTCTCCATTCCCCCTGACCCTCCCTTCTAGGTGAGGGGCTCTCACATTTGAGAAGAGGTGTGGGTGGGAAGTCCTTTTAACCACATTTCCACAATGGTAGTATTGGAATGATTTTTAAGCCAGGTTGCCAGTGTCTCATTCCTGTAATTCTAGCTACTCACAAAGCTAAGACCTGAAAGACAGAAGTTCAAAGACAGCCTGGGCAGAAAAGTTCTGGATACTCCATCCCCAATTAACCAAGAAAAATCCACACTGAGGGATGTAGCTCATGTGGTAGAGCATGACTGTGAGTAAAAAAAGCCAAGCGAAAGACTGAAGCCCCAAGATCAAGCTCCAAAACCAGCATAAAAGAAAAAAAAAGCCATAAAATATTCTGTTCCTTGACTGTGGTGGTAGATTCATGAAGTGGACGTGTGTGCTAATGTTACACATACACCTACAAATATGTGTATAATGCTGATGAGCCCTGGGGGCTGGGAAGGTGGTTCAAGTGGTAGAGCGCTAGCCTTGAGTTGAAGAGCTGAGGGACAGCGCCCAGTCCCAGAGTTCAGGCCCATGACCGACAAACATGCAAAAAAACTTGATGAACCCTGCAGATTGCACTACTGCTGATTTATGCCAGATGGTATACAAAGTGTTGCCCTGGGGGAAACAGGTTGAAGGGTACAGGAAACTCTACCATGTCTTTCCCAATTTTCTGTGTGTGAACCTATTAATTTAAAATGAAAAATTTTAAACAAAGACAAATTTCCATACTGGCATTTAACAGCTGGCACACATACAACTTGAAACTTATCTTATCAGACCATAAGAAATAACTGACTCCCAGGCAGGATGAAAGGTAACTAGCCAGGGAAGGACCCTCATCTCCAGAGGAAGAGACCCAACACACTACAGACCACTCACATGAAGAACAAACAGTCTAGTCCACAGTATTTTCTCTTTCTGTTTTTGGTGCTGGCACCAGGCCTCAATTTGTGGTACTGAATGCTTGTTCTGCTTTTTTCTATCATGGCTGGACCTCTATCATTTGAGCCAAGCATCCAAGTTAGTTTTTAGCTGGTTAATTGTAGATAAAGTGTCTCTCAGACTTTTCTGCTTGAACTAATCTTGAACCTGGATCCTCAGATCCCAGCCTCCTAAGTAGCTAGGATTACAGGTGTGAGCTTCTGGCACTCAGCACACATTGTGATGAAGTACGTATTAACATTAAATTTACCACTAGATCCATGTCCAGGTATGCAATATAGTCGCACCGAGAGCATTCACACTGTTGTAGAACCATACTATCCCCCTCCAGCACTCTCACTACACACTAATTCCCAATTCCTTATCTCCTCCCATAGGCAACGCCCACTTTACTTTCTGCCAGGATGAATTTGTCTACTTCTGGTCATTTAAAAACTTGTGCATTTAAAACTTCTGGAAGTTGCCAACATTAAGAAAAGTTCAGGATCACACATAAATACAGGTCTAGGCTTTTGTTGAAGAATGTGGGTACCACCAGGCCTACATTCATCCAGTTAGCTAAAGTAAGCTATAACCATCCCCTTTAGATGGCATGCCTTTTGTCCAGGTTGCTGGTCCTGCCCTGCCAGTAAAGTGTCACTTCCTACAAAGAGGCACACCCCTTCCCAGGCGGCATTTGCTTTGAAAACTATCCATAAGACATGAAACACCAAAGACCAGGCTCTGTGACACTTCAAAGGACAAAGAAAGGTCCAAGACCTGGAGTGAAATGTTGCAATTTTAGTCTGCCCTAAAGAGGTGACCCAGCCAACTGTGCTGTCACTACAGTGTCACCTACAGCATGAGAAGGGAAACCACAGCCACCTTTTCATTCTGTTCTCCTGCGACTCAAGTGGTAAAGCACTAGTATTGAGCACAAAAGCTCAAGGACAGTGTTCAGGCTCCTTAGTTCAAGCCCCAGAACCTTAGTTCCAGTCCCAGAACTAGAGCACACACACACACACACACATAAATCCAAAAAAATAAAGTTAGGTATAAACTGGGATGCTGGCTCATCACCCCCAGACTTTACCTGAAACCATAGATTGGACTTAGCTAGAAGTCTAAGGCTTTGTACCGTTTCCTTACCTGAATCCATATCTTTGTAGTCTGCTCCAAAATGCCTCCACTGGAAGCCATAAACTGGGCCCAGGTCCCCTTCTTTTCGGGCAGAAAATCCCAGGCTGTCCAAAAAATCTCGGGATCCATTGGCATCCCAGATTTTCACTCCCTTGGAAGACAGTTCTTTGGCGTTTGTGGATCCCTGCAAAAGATGAGGATAGAGCAGGCATCTAAGTGGATTTCAAGCCCCTGGGTGCAGGCCAAGAGGCTCTAGGCCACTGGAGGATGGCCACTTAACCATGGCCATGTATGGAGCCCATTCTATCTTGAAACCGACTGGTCTCAGCACAAGCTTTTGGGCGCCTATAGAATGATTAGACCACCTCTCAAGCCATCTCCTATCAGCCACACATGACCAAATTTGGATACCGTGCATTCATCTCTTATCTGTGCCACCATGCTTACCCCCAATTTATACTTTCTATATAATCTACACTTAAAAGGCTGTTCTTTTGCAAGGCCTTATGTTTTGACTTCACCATGATATCCTCATCTGTATCCTGATCATGCAGGATCAGAACAGACCTCTCTACCTTTCTAGAGCCTCTGGTTATGGGGTGTCATGTACACGTGGGCTTTGTGCCCACCCATGCTACCTACCCCTCAGCTCACCCCTCTAACCTCATCTATAAGAGCACAGGGGAAATATTGACATATATCTTTGTAAGAAACAGTTAACACTAGCAAATGCTTGGAGCCCAGCATGGATTAGCCCTCACATGGCCCTATCTTGTTCACAGATCCCAAACTGTAGTTCAGGCATGCTAGAACTCCTAGATTTGATGAAGGTCCCAATGGATCAGCTTCTCAGACGAGCACCTCACATGTCTGGTAAGGACTTCTTAGAATACTGAATTTCAAGCTTGATATTAAAACACAGCAATGCATTTTAGGAATTCATCTCCCTCCCTGCTTCACTTTCTGTTGTTGAGTTTGTAGTCATTTTTTTCTCACAAGTAATTTCTCAGTCTTTTATCAGCTGCTTTAAAATTCTCCATTTTCCATCCATTTAGCTAAGCTCTAAGAATGTCCTCTTTGGGTGCATACCAGTGGCTTACACCTGTCATTTTAGCTACTCAGGAGGCTAAGATATGAGGATCGTTGTTTGAAGCCAACCCAGGCAGGAAAGTCCATGACTCTGATCTCCAATTAACCACCAAAAAGCAGGAAGTAAAGCTGTGGCTCAAATAGTAGAGCAGAAAAAGAGAGAGCAAATAAGGCCTTGAGTTCAACCCCCACCCAGTACCAACACACACACACACACACACACACACACACACACACACACACACACACACACACACACACACACGCTACCCCCTTCTGAGCTATTTAAAGTTATGTCTGCTGCTAGAGGCTTTCAGTTGAAAGGCCAAAACCCCTCAACAACACAGAAGACAGACTGGATCAAAATCTGGATCCTTTCTAAAATGTATTAACAACTCCCAGGTCTGGTTTGGCCATCACATGCCTGTCTCCTCAGATACTCTGCACAGCACCGCACAGAGTATCACTGGTTCTGGATCAGGATGTAGAGAAGGGAAGAGTTAGCAATCTACTACTTGTTAGTGATCAATAGGTACCTACCTGCTACACAGTGATCAATGTATGCTGCGTACTTACCAAGTAATAGGGCTGTGCTGTAAGCCCTAGGCATACAACAGCAGTAAGAGAAACATTCTTTGGTGTTTACAGGACATTTCACTTACTTATTGTTGGTGCCCCTCTTTTTCCCTCCCCCCAGGGAGAAATAAATAAGGCCTAAACCATACACCAGAGGATGCTGCTTCCCAAAGGAGCAAAACAAAAGGCAGGGGAGGGGAGGGGAGGGGAGGGGGAGTATGATATCTCAAGTCTTAAACCTGGAGATCAAGGAAGGCAGCAGACTGAACTGAGTGGGAGAATGTTCCAGAGGAGAGGAGAGGCCTGGGTGGGAATATTCCCCAGGAGGCCAGGAAGGATGGATCAGAAAAAAAGCAGTTCGGCCAGAGGTGGAAAAGGAGCCAGGAGAGGAATCTTGGCTCGTCCTGGTGAACAGGGACAGGCCTAGATGTGAAAGCTGAGGACCGACATGATCTGACTTTTAAAAGCTCCTGGCTGGGTGTCATAGACAGACAGTTGGATTTCCAATTGTAGTAGCTTCTTTACCTTGATAAACCACAGCAACTCCTCCAAAACACCTTTCCAGAATACACGTTTGGTTGTGAGCAGAGGAAATTCATCTGAAAAAAAAGTTTGCCACACCATTGGCTCATGGGACAGGCCTTGCCACCACCCAACTTTCTCTGTGGAGGAAAACTGCCTAGGATGTAAAGCCCTGGAGTTTCTGAGCAATCAGAAAATGCCAGCTGCTGCCTATCGACCATCTGGGATGAAGGTGGGGCTCTCAGGCAGCAGGGCAGTCAGTAACATGTCAGACAGGGACAGCCCTCCTGAGTCACAGCAACTGGGGGGGACACCGTGAGTCTTATACATGAGGGGGGGGGCGTTTAATGTGGAAACAGTAAGAGTTCCTACAATTAGCATCAGTGTGATCCTGTCACAGCACTGTGACAACATCCACAAAGCTCCCAGGATAAAGCATGAAAACTCCCACACCTAATTCTGCTGTGATCTGGCCAGAGCAAACTTACTCAGAACCCAGAAGTTGGCTTCATACTGGCTTCAATATATGAAAAGCAAACTGACCTATAATTTAATATACCACAAAGAGCAACGACATGCAGGATCCTATTTAACCCTTAGAACAAGTTTCTGAGGGAACTTTCAGCACTCTATTTCACAGGCACCAGGAGACAAGCGGAAGAAACTGTTTAGCCACGTAAGCATTCTCTCCACATATTAACCTCTTTGAGGAAGAGTAACTTGACTAAAGACTGAGCAGGAGTAGGGGGAGGGGAGGTGGATTAAAACCAGGTTTGTAGAGCCCCTAGCCTGAGAGAGCAAACGGGAATCCCTGCTTGGAGACTTCTAGGATGTCCCAGCTGCATTAGCTGATGGAGCTTGGGGTTTCCCCCAACTGAACTGGCTCATCTAATGTTTCCCTTTCAAAACCCTTTCATGGGGGGGTGGGGGGGGGGGGGGAGGAGGCTGGCTTAATGGTAGAGTGTTTGCCTTGCAGGCAAGAGTTCCTGGGTTCAATTCCTCAGCACTACATAAGCAGAAAGAAGCCGGAAGTGGCGCTGTGGCTCAAGCGGTAGAGCGCTAGCCTTGAGCTGAAGAGCTGAGGGGCAGCATTCAGGCCCCACGACCACCAAAAACAAACAAAACAAAACAAAGCCACCCTTTCATGTCCCCTGGGAATCACCATAGCCTCTACCATAAGCACCTAGGAGGAAGGAGTCCCCCCTTCCTAGCAACTGGGGCTCAATCCCGATCGCCATTGTCCGATGTTAAAGACAGGCCACCTACTGCCCAACCTCCTGCGCTCTCGGCCACCCTGACCCAAGTTAACAACCGGCCTGGAAGACTCCTTCCTCTCCCCGCCTCCCGCCCCCTCCCCCGGGGAACCAGGCTGTAGGAGAAAGGAGGAAAAGCAGGGAACAGGAACTTCTTTCCAGGTTAAAGAGGGAAACAGGAACCCACAAGTTCGCGCCCAGACCCACGGTCCTCCCCTCTTCCCGCCCAGAGCATTTCCGCTCCAGGTTTTAAAATTGTTGCACAGCACCCTGGCCCACACGGGGAGGGGGAAGGTGGGGACAGGAGCAGCCAGTGCTCCAGGAAAGCCAGTCCCATTACCTAGCCGTGGGGCGAGCGGGACGGGGTCGGACTACTTTGGGGGAGGCAGCAACACTGGGGTGACCAAGACCAAAGGAGCCACGTGGAGCCAGGTTCAACTCGCTGCTGTGACGCAGGGCGCCTCCCCGGAGCCTCAGTTTAGCCTCTGGAAAGTGGGGGGTACGCGGCGGCTCCTCCCCGCACCATAGCGGGGCGGGGTGGGGGGGAGGTCGGGATAGCCGTGGCCCGCGCGCCCCCTCCCCGCAGCCGCGGCGCCCGGTCCCCGCGCCCCCGGGGGCCCGGCCGGGGTCACCTCTCAGGTTGTAGCGCGCCTGCATGCCGAACACCGACAGGGTGCCGGTGCCCGTGCGGTCCTCCTTCCTGAAGCCGCAGCGCAGGATGTGCTCCACCTGCCCCAGGTACTGCCGCTCCCCGTGCGCCGGGGGCGCGGCGCCCCGCTCGGGCGCGGCGGGCGGCAGCTCGGAGCCGGCGGCGGGCATGGCAGGCCGGGCAGAGGGGCGAACGGCGCGGACAGCGGCGGGAGGAGGGACCCTTCTGCGCGCGCAGCGGCCCGCGCTCCACCTCTTCCTGCCGGGAAGCGCCCGCCCGCGGGAGCGGAGACCCCGCGGCCCGCGCGCGCCCTGGGCGCGCCACGTGCGGCCGGATCTCACGCGCCCCTCGTGCTCCTCCGGGCCCGCCCCAGCTGGGAAAAGCCTGGGGACAAGCGTGGACTTGTTCCTGCAGCCTTCTAAACCAAACCCCGCGCACGCGCCGACGCGCGAGCCGCACGAACCCTTCCCGGCCTCGCTGCGGGCCAGTGGAGTCATGGAGCGCTCTCTCTCCCCCTTTGTCTCTCTCTGTCTCTGTGACTGTCTCTTCCTTCCCTCTCCCTCTCTCTCCCCCTCTTCTCCCTTCTCCCTTCGTCCTCGTCCCTCCCTTTCTCTCTCTCCACTCTTTCTTTCTTTCTTTCGTTCTTTCTTTCTTTCGTTCTTTCTTTCTTTCTTGTTGTTGGTTACTGGAGGTTTGAACTCAGGACTTGCCACTTGCTAGGCTGGCATAATAGCTCTGAGCCTGGCTCCCCAGGCCATAATACACGTTTAAGCTTGATTAATGAAGGTCCAGTGTGTTTTCAGCAGCCCACCCCTCACCCCACGCACTGACTTTAATTTTTTTTTAACTTTGGTTAAACCTGATCAAGCGAACACTGATGTGTAGGAACAAAGCGATCGTTTAAAATGTGATAATATATGTAACATACCAGGAACAATCTGCAACGACTACTGAAAAACACTGCAAGTCTCTAGAATTTGTTTAAAATAAATGTGGCCATGTCTGGGGATGTGAAGAATAGGATGTGTGCTCTGCTGAAATGTATGACACTGGCCTTGGGCGTGGGGTTGGGTGTTTACCTCAGGGTGCTCTACATACTGGCAGTCTACTGTGTCATGCTTTTGTTGTTATTGGTGGTGGTCACCGAGCTTGAACTCCAGGCCTAGGCTCAGTCCTTGAGCTCTTTCGCTCAAAGCTAGGGCTCTAACTTTGAGCCACAGCCCACTTTCGGTTTTTAGGTGGTTCATTCGAAGTAAGCGTTTCACAGATTTTCTTGGCGGGGCTGACTTCGAAACACCATTCTCAGATCTCAGCCTTCTGAGTAACTAGGATATCAGGGCTGAGGCACCGTCAGTGGGCACTCATGGTTATTTTTCTTGGTTAGCTCCTCCTTCTTTGTTTTTTTTCAAGTGCTATAGTTTGGTTAAGCATCCCTAAAAGGTTCAGGTGTTACAGGCTTAGACTCCAACCTGTGGGCCATAGGGAGATGGTGGAGCCTTTAAGAGGTAGTGTGTACCAGCTGGAAGTTTCAGCCCCAATGAGTGCCACTAAAGCACTTACCAGCTGCTTCTGCTCTGAGCTTCTTGGCTGCTGAGAGGTAAGCAGCTTCTCCACCCCACTCTCTTGCTCCTCCCACCTTAACTTACCACGCAACCACAGGCAGAGCAACATGGGCTGGGACCTCTGCAAATGGAAACCTTTCTTCATAAATGGATTGTCTTGGGCATTTTGTCACAATACGGGAAAATGGTAAGAGCAAGATTTTAGTGTCTTTCTGCTAAAGTACATGCCTCAAGTTAAAAGTATTATTTTTAATTCCTGCGAGAAGTTAGTTAAATTTCATCTGCATCTTGGCCTCTTCTGTTCAGGTAAAATTACTTCCTGCTTTTATGTGGCATAAGCCTTCACTAAATAGAATCTGAAAGAAGATGTGCAAAAATGGTTGGCATTTTGGAGCTAATTGGTGAGAAAAGGGACTGTTTCAGAAACGATTTCACAAACCTGGTGATGTGGTGTGTCCTCCACCAAGGTCATGGCCGGACATCCAGACCTTCATCCAGATAGGGAAAGAGCTTCTTCTTTTCCTGCATGGAGGTTGCAGCTAGGTTCTCCAACTTTTGTCAGGTTTATGGAGGAGCTTTCTCCTCTATTGTCAGCATACAGTATTACACAGCAGATGAATCTTCAGGCAGGGTCATGTGAGTCTGTGTCTCTGACGGTGGTGGAATTAGTGTTCCTATTGTTTGGTAGTATGGATGTTGGTGTTAGCGAATTGAGTCCCTTCCCATAGCTTGGTCCATTCCTTCTCTTCGCCACAGCTTAGCACGCTCCCTTCCTAGGCAGCACTAGGCCCCTGTAGTAAAGGTAGTAAATAATCACCTTCCGACCCCCTTTACCTTGGGATGGCACTTCTCTGGGGCAGCTACCACCATATAAGAACCCCTTAGAGAGACCTCAAGTCCCAGCAGCTGCAGGACCCTTAGCTACCATTTGGGCAGCAGCCATAAATCCTAGTCTGACATGATGAAGCCCCTGGCCTACACATCCACACCAGGGTCTCCGCCTCCTAGCCCCTTCTAGCCTCTCCTAAACCTCCTAGGTTATATAGGTCACCCCAGACAATAGCCAGTGCTTCTTCTCTCTTGTCTCTTGTGAGCAGGGATCTTGCCGGCCCTTTTCCTGGCAATAAACCTTTCTTTGTTCTCTGTACCTGGATGTCTGCGTGGTTCTCTGGTAAAGTCTCTTTTTTTTGGGGGGGGGGGGGGGTCCTGTCATGGGGCCTGAACTCTGGGCCTGGGCACTATTCCTCAGCTCTTAAGCTCAAGGCTAGCGCTCTACCACTTGAGCCACAGTGCCATTTCTGGCTTTTTGCTTATATGGTGCTGAGGAATCGAACGCAGGGCCTCAGGCATGCAAGGCTAGTACTCTACCACTGAGCCACCTTCCCAGCCCCTGGTAAAGTCTCGTAATCTTAATTTTGCTAAGAGTTGGTCATGTCAGAAGTAAACTGAAATGCTCAGAAGGGAGGGGAACCCTGATTCCTGCCAAGGCCCATTTGGGTATCTAGAACATGATTTTCAACCTATACAAGAGTATCAATTCAGGAAGCTGGCTGTAGGCTGCTAATGAAAAGCGTACCTGTCCAGTCACATTTTGTAGACAGGAAGTTTCCCACCCCAGGTGAGGAGCGTATAAATCAAATCGATTTCATTCCAGACAATATTGAACTGGCTGAAGCAGCCAGTTCAATTCCTGAATCAGCCTTGATCCTTCACCCTCTAGTTCCTCACCCCCACTTCCAGACCAGTGTAGTGATAATTCTCACAAATGATCAGTAGTTCCCTTGGAAAGATAGACTGCCAGCATGGAGTAGAGCAAAAGTACTGTCTCGACACCATGACCTTGAAATGGTGAGGGAAGGATAGTACTTTGTAATAAAGTGGTAATAAAAAATAGATGATAAAGTGAGGGAGGAGGGGGATTCAGATTGCTGTTGCCTCTAGGTATAAGTTGGAATGAGGGACTTAGGATATATTTTCAGGGAAATGAGGTCCGAGAACTCTTTAATGGTTGGTCCTAGAAGAAATAAGTGGGAACCAGGGAGAAAGACTTTCTGCTTGGGCCTCCTGCTCAATTTCCTTCTACATAAAATATGCAGTATGCCAATATTGGAGTACTATGTGCTGAATCCTTGCTGTGTGTTATGTTGTCCTGGTGAGAGGGCTGTCTTTATTCAAGGTAACTGTGTTTCTGATAGTTTAGGAAGAGACAGTTGTAATAGAAATCTGAGTTCAGAGAACCAGTAGACAGAATTAGGGACACAGGGGACTAGACTCATTTGAAAGTGCTCCTTGGTATGTGGAACTGATTTCCCCAGAAGAGGTTCAGTGCTGGGTATGCAAAGAGCCACAGGGTCTCTATCAAAAGACCTGTGGGTACTCAGGATGGGCTTATTTTTCTCTTGGGCAGAATCTTCCAGCACACTGTAGGGTACCTGTGTGACCGCAGGAAATCTGGTTTCATAATGACCAGCATGGTTTCAGCATATAACACCTACCAAGCACAAAACCCTGAGTCTGAGCTTCAGTGTTGCATTAAAAAAACAACCAAAACTTACTGGATGCAGCTCATGCCTGTAATTCTAGCTGCTCAGGAGGCTGAGATCCAAGGATTACGTTTAATGCCAGCCTGGACAGAAAAGCCTATGAGACTCTTACCTCCAATTAACCACAAAAAGCTAGAAGTGGAGCTATCTATTGCTCAAGTGGTAGAGTACCAGCCTTGTGAGAAAAAGCTAAGGGAGAGCATGCTGGCCTTCAAGCTGCAGCAGCAGCACAAACACACAGGTTGCCAATAAATGTTAGTTAGAATGAATGATCCTCAGATATTCGTTACTCAACAAGTATTTTGTTAGGGGACCTTCCATGTTGTCAACAAAGAGCAATTTAGGCAAGGTCTTTATCTCTGGAACTGAAATCCTAGCTAACAATTCAAAGTTTCTAAACAAGAGCTCTGCAGGTGGGCAGGGGGTGTGGCTTATTTGGAGATCACTTGAAACCCTGGGCTCAATCTCCACAACCACCAAAACTGAGGAGTGCTTTGATGGTGACACAGCCAGGTTTGGGGTGGGAAGATCCACAGGGAAGTTGATGACCACGAAAGATTCCATTGAGATGGTCACCTGAGTACTGGCAACACTTGGAGAAGGCTTCTGTGTAAAGAAGCCAAAAATAAGGACAAAAATAGTGAATATTGACAGTGAACCCAGTCTGATCCTAAGAAGATACAACAGTATTGTACACATGAACACTCCTGTGAGACTAAAAGTTCCTTCCCATTAAGAGGTGTATTTCTTTTTCTCTTTCTTTCTCTCTTCCCTTCTTGCTTTGTTGTTGTTGTTTCTTGGGACCCTTGGGGATTCAATTATCAAGATACATATTTCTGTTAAAAGTTTTTACTTTTTACTTCTGTGTTCCATAGTCACAGAAATTTAGAATATACTTGTGCTTTTTGATCAAGTATGTGCAAATTATAACAATGTCTATAAAGTAAGAGTTTAAGGTAAAAAAGGAAAGTGATAAATGCTTAATTGCTAAAGAGGGAAAAAGTGTATTGTTTTTTGTCGTCGGCCGTGGGGCTTGAACCCTGGGCTTGGGCACTGACCCTGCGTACTTCAGCTCAAGACAAGCTCTACCACTTGAGCCACAGTGCCATTTCCAGTTTTCTAGTGGTTTATTGGAGATAAGAGTCTCACGGACTTTCCTGCCTGGGCTGACTTTGAACCATGATCCTCAGATCTCAGCCTCCTGAGTAGTTAGGATTACAGGCCTGAGCCACCAGCTCCTGGCCTTATTTTTTGTTTTTGTTTTTTGGTCGGTCATTAGGCTTGAACTCTGAGCCTGGGTCCTGTCCCTCAGCTCTTCAGCTCAAGGCTAGCGCCTTACCACTTGAGCCACAGCACCACTTCTAATTTTCTGGTGGTTTATTGGAGGTAAGAGTCTCACAGACATTCTTGCCCCAGCTGGCTTTGAACTATGATCCTCAAATCTCAGCCTCCTGAGTAGCTAGGATTATAAGTGTGAGCCACCGCCACCCAGCAAAATATATATTTTTTAATGGCAGTATTTGACATTAGTATGCTTTTTAGACTCTATTGCTACATTTTAAACAGAAGTGAAATTTTTAATACCAATTTTGTAATACATAGGAAACTTAAAATTTACTAATATTTTCAGCTTATATTGAAAAGTCAGAAAAAAACATTTAAGTCTATTTCAGTTTTCTTTGAAGGAATATGAAAGAAACAAAAATACTTGAAGAGCATTTATCTTGAAAAAAATAGTTTCCTTTTTCTTTGCACAACAAACTCTCAAAAGTGATGATAAAATTACGTAAGGTATCTACCTGTAGTGCCAGCTTCCTGGGAGGCTGAAGCAGGATGATTGTTTGAGCCCAGGAATTTGAGACCTGCCAGAATAATATTGTGAGACCTCATGCCCCAAACAAGAAATCAAACCAAGCCAAAACAAATTAATTAAAGGAGAATAGGAAACTGTTGTTTTTTTTTTTAAACAATGATTAGGGTAACAATATTTTTATTGCTATAGTTACTATTTCTTGATATTTATGAACCACACATAAAGCGTTAAGTGGGCACCAGTGGCTTATTTTCTTCTCTAACATGAAATGAATGGTTGAATAGGTGCTGTTTATTGGAGAATATCAAAGGAATCTAGGAGTTTATCAATACTTTTTCTTTTTTGGTCTGTTGTGGGGCTTGAACTCTGGGCCTGGACCCTGTCCCTGAGCTCTTTAGGCCAAGGCTAGCACTCTACCACAGCTCCACTCCTGGTTTTCTGGTGGTAAATTGGGGATAAGAGTCTCATGCACTATCCTGCCCTGGCTGCCATGATCCTCAGATCTCGCCCTCCTGAGTAGCTAGGATTACAGACATGAGCCATGGTGCCTGGTATTTTTTAAATACCCTTTGGTTATGATTTAAAGCTAGTTTAATCGTTTTCATTAATTATATTTAATTATTCTGTGTGGCACACATCTGTAATCTCGGTATTCAGGAGACTGAGGTAGGAGGATGAAGAGTTCAAGGCCAGTCTGGGCCACAAATGGAGACCCTCTGGGGAAAAAGGGAGGAGAGAGAAGAGAGGAGAAAGAATGCACATTTGCAATGACAGAACATAAACGTAAAGGTGATTTAACATTTGTTTAATGCATTGTCAAATACAGTACATATGTATATTTGATTAAAGGGAATTTTTACTTTCACTCAGTTTGACTAGCAATAAAACTGTCATTCAACACAAGTAAAGAGCAGTATGTCCCAATATCTGACTAACATTATTTTCTACAATCCTCTTTACTATGTTAACTGCTTTGGGAGTCAGGATTTGCAGAGCTCAGCTAAAGAGGTACTTCTTGGATATGGGATACATTTGTCTTATTATCTTATTTTTTTAATTAGTCATGGGGCTTGAACTCTTTGCCTGGGCACTGTCCCTGAACTCTGCAACTCAAGGCTAGTACTCTACTACTTAAGACACAACATCACTTCCAGTTTTCTGATGGTTTATTGGAGATAAGAGTCTCACGGACTTTCCTGCCCATGATCCTCAGATCTCAGCCTCCTGAGTAACTAGGATTACAGGCATGAGCCACCGGCACCCGGCTTATTATCTTTAAAATAAAATAGCAATAATAAAAATACTAGACGATTATATAAAGTTTATTACATAATTATTTATTATAAATTATAGACTTTGTTTTTTCTTGGAGTAATAGTTCAAGATAGGATAAATACTCTTGGCTTTTGGAAAAATTGATATATAACAAAACAATGGAAGAGCCACATGTATGGACATTTAAATTGTTATTAGCCCATATTAATTGTATAAGATAATGGGCTTCATTGTGACATATTCACGCATGCACATGACATACTTTGATTGTGCCAACCTCTGTTTCCTTCTCTTATCTTCCCCACCCCTTTTTCTGGTTCTTCTCATCTTTAATAGTACCCCTCTGATTTCATGACATTTCCTTCTTTCTTTTCTAGATTCATATATAGACATTCTTTTTAGTTTATTTTACTGAATTTAGATCCTCATGCTCTCACTTGGCTTTTTTGCTCACAGCTGGTACTCTACCACGTAAGCCACACCTATCTGAAAAATAACTAAAGCAAAAAGGGCTGGGGATGTGGCTCAAGTGATCATCTGTCTAGCACAAGGCCTGAGTTCCGCTGCAAAGCAAGCAGAACCGAACAACAGAAACCCCACCAATACCACACATACACAAAATAAGTTGTTAATGATTTTTAAGCGAGTTTTATTTTTACTTCTTAGAATCTAAGAAAAGAAGCAGAAAATGTGAATAAGAAAATATAGCAAAATGATAATGATGGTTTTAGTAAAATGGTGGGGTTGCCAAATGCCAGTGTCTCATGCCTGTAATCCTAGCTACACAAAGAGGTTAAGAGATTCAGAGGATAGACTCTGCCTCCAAAATAACCAGAAAAAAAAAAATCCAAGCTGCAAGCAGGATGCAAGCAAGCCAAATGTGAGTGAAGCCCTGAGTTCAAACCTTAACACTGGGAAAAAATAACAATGGTGGGATTATGATAATTTTTGGTGCTTGACATTTTTGAACATCGACTCTGCAAAAGATCACTTCTTTGCCGACTAGTAAGTAATTTGTTCAACCTCTTAATGATTCCTCATGTCATTGCCTATTGTCACTGTACCTTGAGTCAATTCAACACTCTGGAGGCTGGAGCAGGAGAAGTATGAGTTCGAGGGCAACCAGAGTTACACAATGAGACTCCATCTCAAAAACACTAAAACTTAGAATATTTAAGTTCATCGCAGTCCTATCAGGATTGAATGGGGTTTTTAAAAGCCCTATTTAATTTTTTTTAAATCTGCATGTTTTCAAAGCAGAAAATACCTTGTTTCATGTCTTTGATTATTATGAGTTTGAACATAGTTTCCAGGGATTTTGAAGTTAGGTTTGTGTTTGTTCACAAAGCATTGCTAATCAGGCACTCTACTTACCAAGTCTTAAAATGCTCCCTAAAATGCTCTAGAACTTTGGCTGCCATATAGTCCATGAAGTTAGAGCTCTCAGCACTTGCATCAGGAGCGATCTTCACTGTGAAATTGGGGGAAGGCAAAATGTGTGAGTCCACCCTCGTTTCATCTTGTTGGAAAGAATGTCCTTCACGATCACTGAGCACTCCCTAGAGCAGGAGAATTATTTTGTGTCAGGTTTACTAGATCCCAGTACACCTTCAAAATTAATACCAGAGTAGTCAGGATAAGCTATGTTGTGCTGGAGTGACAAATTAGACGGTCTATCTCTTGCTCATGTTACCTGTCCATGACAAGGGCTCCAGAATATATGGTCGGTCATTTAGGTTCCTGACTGACAGAAGTACACCCTCATATGGCTATGGCATGTGCATTCTTGGCTTTCTTTGTGCCAGAGGAAGAGAGTGAATAGGTCCCATGCTTCCTTGTCCCACCCTGGAAATAACCCTTGTCCTTTTCCTTACATTTCATTGGCTAGAACCTGTCACATGGTACCACTTACCCACAAGGAGGACTAGAAGACATGAATGAGCTGTTTAATGAGTGTTGTTGTCTTTGTGACTGACATTAACATGGACTGCTCAGGAGTATACAGAGTTTTTCTAGAAATGTACAATTTATGGTTTTATGTGTGATTTGGCCAAGAACTAGTGAAGCAAAATACATATGGGATATTATTTATTCTCTCCCTTCTTCTCTTTCCTTTTTCTCTCTCCTTTCCTCCTCCCCCTTTCTCTCTCTCTGTCTCTCTCTCTCTGTCTCTCTCTCTCTCTGTCTCTCTCTCTTGTCCTTTTCTTTCTCCCCCAACAGGATCTCATGTATCCCAGACTGACCTCAATCTCAAGATTTTGTGTCAGCCTCTTGAGTGTGAGGATTACAGATGTGTGCCACCATACCCAGCTTACCTTGTTAGTTGCTTAGCCCAGTGATTCTTGTGTCCAGGTCTTTGTAGGATATCTCCCATATATTAACCTAATTAGGAATCACTATGGTACATTTATATAATTAATGCAACATGGGGGTGGGGGTGCATGTCTCAGGAAAGAGTCACTATTTCATGGAACAAAATTATTATTTAAGTATGGGAATCATGGAGTATTTTTTAGGCAAAGATAAATATGTAAGATTTGCATAATTCATTTTGTGTGTGTTTGTGTTCGTATCAGGATTTGAACTTAGGGCTTCATACTTCACTTTTTTCCTTGCAGCTGGCACTGGGTCACACCTCCAATGCATCTTTTTTTTTTTTTTTACACATTAATTGAAGGTGAAATCGCTCAGACTGGGCTGGACTTCCTCTCTGGCTTTGAAATGAGATTCTTAGATCTCAGGCTTCTGAACAGCTAGGATTGTAGGCATGAGCCATTAGTGCTGGAAGATTCACTTAATCCTTAAGGTAACTCAGTTTCTTATTGTGCCAAAAAGTAGTAAGAGCCATCATATACAGGCCTCTTTGTATAAGTGTCTTCTACTGTTTGCTTTTCAAGGAAACATTTGGAGGTGGTTACTGTTACTACCTTTTTAAAGGTGGAGAAACTGAGGCCTAGAGAGGCAAAGGAACTTTTTTGAAGATCTCTCAGCTCACTGCTAAATTTTGAGGCCAAACTGCTTTACCGGTAAGTCTTCTCTTTTAAACTCTAAATTAGCCAGGTTTCTTCAAAGTTACCTTGATCACTTTCAGCCTGATAAGTTCTTTGGATTAGACATATTTTTATTTATTTTTTTGTTGGTACTGTTTTTTTCAGTGCTAGGGTTTGAAGTCAAGGCCTTAGGCTTCCCAGGCAAGTTATATATTACTGGGGCCATGTTTCCAGACTTTTTTTTTTTTTTTTGCTTTCATTCTTTTTTAAATAGGATTTAAAAAATCTGAGACTACCCTCTTCCTGTTTATACTTCCCACATGGCTAGAATGACAGGCATATGCCTCCATACCCACCCTCTTATTAGTGGAGGAGCGGTCTTATGAACTTGTTGTCCAGACTGGCCTTAAACTGTGATCCTCCCAATCTCTGCCTCCCAAGTACCTGAGATTTCAGAGGTGTGTGTGTGTGTGTGTGTGTTTTAAATGGAGTTTTCTTAGAGATTTTTGTTTTCTAAGGGCCATGAACTATATTACATCAAGTCAGCCTGAATGCAATCACAATGAACACCCACATTCCCCTTCAGCTTATTTTCAGATTCACACAAGATCAGCGAATAAATCAGCACATGTAATGTCCACACTTCTCTTGGATTGGAAAGTTACCTTTGTTAAGTCACTGATGTTCTCAGCTCCTGGGATCTTGCTTGCCAGTTCAGACACCCAGCCAAACTGTGCCTTCATCTTCTCCATCAGGTGCAAGGTGTCCTGCACGTGGTACTGGGTCATGCGGACAATCTGGTCATACTGCTGACTAGATAGGTTGACCAGTCTCAGAGCCTCATCGAGTTCTGTGTGCAGGTCAGGGACGTCAGGACAGTCTGGGGGAAAAACAACCCAGAGAAGGGAGACAGGTGACGTGGACCCCCCTGACTTCCTAACTTCTGCCTGTTATTCTGGAATAATGAATACCACCTGTATCAGTTTCAAATAAGATCTAGTTTCACTTATTGTTAATTATGTGACTTTATGTAACAAAAACTGGGGTGGAGACAGAACTTATAAATATCATGTATCTACCACCTATAGTAAGAAAAAAGGCAAGGCTTGGGGGGTGTGGCTGAGTGATAGAGAACCTGCGTGGCATACACACCGGGGTTGTGTCCCCACACCACACACAAAAGAATTACTAAAGGAGAAGGCCCTGCTGGGCCTCTTTTACATCACATTCCCTTCACAGACACCCACAAGGAAACTCGCTGTTTTGAATTTGGATATATATGCCAGTACCAAGAACTGGTAGAAGGAAAGAAGCCGCGTAAGGAGCTTGGGGTATGGCTCAGGTGGTAGAGTTGGAGAGAAAACAAGAGTATAAAGTTTTCACTGCTGTGTTTCCTTCTCTTCCTGTGAGTGCAAATACTACTCCAGTCATCTTTGTTTTGGGGGAACTTGAAGGCACAGTAGTTATTTTCAGCTTATAGACAGGCTGTAATCTGATCTTTCCTGAACTTGCTTTGTAATTTTGATAGAACTTAAAGATGAACTTGCGTCTTTTGTTTAGAGCTTGGTCTGTTAAAGTCTTTTTTAAAAAATTTAATTTTATTGTAAAGGTGATATACAGAGAGGTTAGAGCTCAATAAGTAAGGTAATGAGTACATTTCTTGTCAAACGTTGTTACCCACCTCCCTCAATTTTTTTCCCCTTCTCCCCCAACACTGTCCCCCACCCCCTGTGGCCCATTAAATTCTGAACAAAGAACTTCTTGTCCAGAGTCACAAGCTAGTGTAGTGGGATTATTTTCATGATACTAAATAGTATCTTCTTCCTCCTTCTCCAAGCTATTAGCCACACTTAAAAAAAATTGCCCTCCCTAGGCTATTACTAGAGTAAAATGAAAATCATCAGAATCTGAAGTTGTTTTGTTTTTTGTTTGTTTGTTTTTGTTCCAGCCCTAAACTCAGGGCCTGGGTGCTGTTCCTGAGCTACTTTGCTCTAGTCTAGCACTCTACCACTTGAGCTGCAGCTCTACTTCCAGCTTTTTTGGTGGTTAGTTGGAGAAAAGAATCTCAAAGACTTCCTACCCTGGCTGACTTGGAACTGCAGTTCTCAGATTCCAGCCTCCTGAGCAGCTAGGAATACAAGCATGAACATCTGGTGCCCAACTGTTATATATAGAGATAGATAGATAGACTGATATAGATATATTAAAATTATATAGATACATGAAAAAATTCATATATATACACCATTTATATCATGTATATATCAGATATACATATATAATCATACATAAATGAATATATATGTATATGTACACACATATATATATAGATATAGATATATATGAAATTTTTTAGTCTGGCCCTGGTGGGGTGGGAGGGGTTCTAGAGTTTAGGGAAAGGTAGAGATGAGGAAAGGAATCAGGAAGGTAAAGAGCCACTCTTGGCTAGATCTAAGAAGGGAAAAACTTCCTAGGGCTCCTGACCAGGGAACACTTCCTCTTCTGAAATACTAATCAGTATTTATTAGTACATACTCAACTGGAAAGAGCTAATGTTGCTTTCCAATAAAACACCTCACTAGGCTGATGGATTTGTCCAGTGTGGAGTATTCCTTCATTGGAAGGAAGAGGTGTGGAGTTGCCCTTAATTTACTCATTGTTTTTCTCTTTTGCACCTATTAGTGTTTGTTTGGTCTTTAATCATGGGAAAGTTTCACAGGAACAACTATGGACTTGGGAAAGTGAAAAATGAGCTGACATGCTTTTGAATAATAACAATTTATAAACCTACAGTGAGCACCCCATTGAGAACAACACCTCCAAGAACTGGACAGAAAACCGAGTGAAGGCTGGGAAGGTGGCTCAGTGGTAGAGCGCTTGCCTTGCATGCCTGAGGCCCTGGGTTCAATTCCCCAGTACCACATAAGCAAAAAGAAAAAAAAGCCAGAAGTAGCGCTGTGGCTCAAGTGGTAGAGCGCTAGCCTTGAGCTGAAGAGCTGAGGGACAGCGCCCAGGCCCAGAGTTCAGGCCCCACAACCAAAAAAAAGAAAGAAAGAAAGAAAACCAAGTGAACCCACCAGTAGGGAGATTTTGACATCTGACCAAATGCTGATGAAACCTTGAGAAAATAAATGTTTACCTTCAGATATGTAATCCTGACACATCTGGCATCTTTTGTGAAATTCAAAACATCCAGATAAATTCTGGCCAAGTTCCCCACATGGCGTTCTCTCCTGCTCACGGAGAGGCTCTGAAATCAAAGAAGGCAACATTGATACACCTGTCCTTAGAGTTTGCACTTTAAACACAGAGACAGTGACATTGCTTTTCCTTAGCAGTGCTTTCAAAATCTACATTTGCTAGGACAGTTTGACATCTGGTATAAATAGCACTTAGCTTTGAATCCAAGAATCTGGTTGCTGGAAGTTTATTATTAGCACACACATGTTCATGCATGCATACAAAGGCATGTAATTTCATTTTCTAGAAAAAAAAGATGGAATGGAAAGTAATAGTCTTTTAGAAGATAGACTTAATGGGGGTGGGAGAAGGCACTGTTTTTGTCCCGTTGCATAGTTGCATAGTTAGTGTGCCTTGTTTCCTTCTTTTCTTTATGTCTGCAAGTACTGGGGCTTGAACTCAGACCTTCAAAGAGAGCTTCAAAGTCTCACTGAGGTTTCTTTCTTAAAGATAGTGCTCTACCATGCCTCCAGCCCAGCTTTTTCCTGTTTAGTTTGGAGGTGGAGTCTCTCAAGACTTTTCTGCCTAGGCTGGCCTCAATCCATAATCTCACAGATTTTAGCCTCCTAAGTAGTTAGGATTATAGGTATAAACCTCTAGCATCTGGCTCTTTCCCTTCCTTCCTTCCTTCCTTCCTTCCTTCCTTCCTTCCTTCCTTCCTTCCTTCCTTCCTTCCTTCCTTCCTTCCTTCTTTACTCCCTCCCTCCCTCCTCCATCCTCCCCCCTCTCCCTCCCCTTCTCCCTCCCTCCCTTCCTCCCTCCCTCCCTCTCTCTCTCTCTCTTTCTTTCTTCCCATACTGGAGCTTGAACTCAGGGCCTTGGCACTGTTTCTGAGCTTCTTTGCTCAAGGCTAATGCTCTACCACTGTGCCACAGCTCCACTTCTGGCATTTTTTGGAGGGGTGGTGGTTTATTGGAGATACAAATCTCACAGACTTTCTTGCCAGAGCTTTGAACCACGATCCTTGGATCTCGTCTCCTGAGTTGCTAGGTCATTCATTATTATTTCTTACAATTCTTAACCAATAGGGTTAAAGAGCTAATGCCAATTTCCAAATACTACTTGGCTAAAAATTGGTTTATCCAGTGTTAAGTTTTCCTTCATTTCAGTTCCTTTGTTCTGAGAGGGAGTAGGAGCAGTAACCAATAGGGTTAAATAGGTGAATGGATGCCACTTCATTCTTTGAAATTCTGTTCAATGTTCCCCAAGATCCTATGTTTGATCCCCAATACTGCCTCTCCTAAAAACTTTAATAATTACTTAAAATATTTAGTTGTAATTGGAAAGTACTTGAAAATTCCACAGATTCTGGAAATGTTGTAACTAGGTGATAGGTGTTGATTTTATTATAGTACTACTTGTTTATGCATCAGTGGCTCATGCCTATAATTCTAGCTGCTCAGGAGGCTGAGATCCACAGGAGCATGGTTCAAAGCCAGCCTGGGAAAAAAATGCTCTCCAGACTTCATCTCCATTTAACCAGCAAAAAGCAGGACTGGAGTTGTGGCTCGAGTAAGTGGCGGAGTACCAATGGAGCATGGAAACAGAGAGAGAGAGAGAGAGAGAGAGAGAGAGAGCACACAAGAAGTCCTGACTTCAAACTGACCAAAAAAAAAAAAAAAAGTTGAAGAAAACACCTAAAGCCAACAAATTTTGAGAAACTTCTTTTTCTAGGGGAATTAACAATGAGTAACAAAATCAGTAAAATTAAAAATAACATTCAATATCAAGATATTTTAAATAACTGTTACTCCCTCTTTCTATTTAAGGGTGAAACATGCTCTGTTTCAATTATGTTCCTAGTTGTGTTCATGAACTTGAAGGTCCAGCTGTTGGCTGCCAGACACACAGCACTTCCTCAGTGAGTGTCAGTCATTGTATCATTGTTATTGAAAAAAGACACGTATAAGATTCCTGTCGCTGCTATCACAGAGGACCACGATGTCAGTGGCTTGAAACAACAACACATGTTTATTATTGCAGTTTTCTACATTGCTTCTCAAGTGAGTCTCGCTGGGCTAACAGCAAGATGTCAGCAGGGCATGTTTTTGCAGTGGCTCTAGGGAGAACTCATTTTTATATCATTTCTAACTTCCTAAGACTGCCTTTATTCCTTGGCATGTGGCCTCTTCCTCCATCTTGAAATCAGCCAAGCAGGACAACACTCCCCAAGCCCCACCGGGGTTGTTTTCTACCTCTTTCCTCTTATAAGTGATTACATGTAATTATTCTCATGATTACATCCAATCTACTATCACAATCCAGAATAGTCTCCATATTTTTAAAGCCAGCAGATTAGCCACCTTAATTCCATGTACAACCTTACTTTTTCACCTTGAAACAGCAGATTCACAGGTTCTAGAAACTAGAGAGATCGATCTTTGGGCAGCTATTAATTCTGCCTACCACCAGGAGCAAAGCTCAGAAGGTCTTAGAGAGATTTTGTTAAAAATGAGCTATATAACTTGTGGGGGAGGGAGGTCGGGAGGGAAAAAAATCTGGAAGAAAATGAGGGAAGAGGTAACACTGTTCAAATAAAAATACAGCCATTACTTGTAACCCCTCTGTACATCAACTTTGCAATAAAAATAAATAAATAAAGCCTGGGCAGAAAAATCCACGAGATTCTTGGTTTGGTTTTTTTTTTGTTTTTGGCTTGAACAATATTCTATTCTTATATCATGCAGTCTGTTTTTTTTTTTTTAAATTTCCTCATAAGTTTATACACATCTGTTTTAAAAATCCCTCAAAGCCTTTTCTTTTGTGAAGACTTCCGGGGAGTTCCTTCTTTTTTACAAAATATATTTTATTGTTTTTGTAGAGGTGATGTACAGAGCGGTTACAGTTACATAAGTCAGGTAATGAGTACATTTCTTTTTGGACCAGGCCCCCCCTTCCCTGATCTCTGTTTTTTCCTCCCATCCCATCCACAAGTTGTATAGTTCATTTTCTGCATAGTGTCTAGTAGTACCCCTGCTGTCATAAGACTCTTCATCTTCAAATAACCAGCAAAAAGCCAGAAGTGGAATTGTGGCTCAAGTGGTAAAGCACCAGCTTTGAGGAAAAAAACAAAAAAGCTAAGGAAGAGTGCCCAGGTCCTACATGTAAGCCCCAGAACCAAGACAAATAAAAATAAAAATAAATGCTGTCTAGTAATTCAGAAATGTCTACAATTTCCAAAGCTCTAACTAAAAGGAAATAAAAGGAATCTAAATAAAAGGAATCTTACAATATTCACCTTGGTGCGGTGTCGAAGAATCCTGAATGGCGTCCAGCGTGCTTTTGATTGATTTGCTGACTCTTTCATAAACAGAGAGACTGAGATGACCAAGTAGCCTGAAGAAATTGGGGAGGTCCCACCTTGGCTCAAGATCTGCTTTGGGGATTGGCTTCTTGGAGAAAGTTGGAAAAAAGGAAGGCTCCATGAGGTCAGAGTCTGACATGAAGTAGGACTGAAAAGCCTGGTCGAATTCTTGCTGCATTTGTTTGAAGACAAAGAGGCTCCTATTGAAGAGGATTCTCACGTCCTCAGTCAGCTGGCAGAACACGCCCTCCATCTGTATCACCCGTGGGTCCTCTTCCTTGGACTTTCCATGGGCAGGGAGGTCATCCTGGTCATCATGGGGGGGAAACAGAAACTGGTACAGCTTCCTGAAAAACTGCTCCATCTGTGGGTGAGGCAGGGGACAAAGAGAATATTTATTTTCCTTCTAGACCATTTCTTCACATTTTAAAGTCAGCGTACAGAGGCCGTTCTATTGTGAAGGAACTAGGAAGAGGACTTGCTGAAATACATTAACAAAGCCTACGTGGCTTTGACTTTGACTGTGGAATTAGGATCTGAATTTCTCCTGGTTTAGTTTTGCCTACTGGTATCTGGGAAAGGCCAAGTTTTCAATCTGGTGGACAAGCCAAATCACCAAATCACCAGCAGCTGGCTACCTTTGTCCACAGGACAACATGGAAATGGAGTGTAAAATCTGCTGAAGGCTTTCCCTTTCACCTATCTTAGCTCTTTTTGTTGTTAATTCTTTAATGGATTGTCACTAATGTCTTTGTACGATCCTCTTTCGTGTCTTCTCAGTTGGGCCATGGAAAGATGAACACAGATGTGTAGATAACAAATCCAGCCTAACAGATTCATTAGGGAAAGTTCTGTGTTTGCAGGGATCAAAGACCTCCTTGTTATAGTTGAAGGAAGGATGGCCAAGGTGTTGTATTTTGTGAAGCTTTCAGTGGGGATTTCCCAGCAGTGACACTATGCTCTTCTGGGTGTCTATGACACCTGAGTCTGGGCAGACTGCAGTTGCCTGTCTGTGATAGTGACATAAATGTGCTGAGTGTTGGCCATTGTTGAATATTCCAGCTACGCAAAGAATTTTCCCCTCACTGGGGGCTTTCTAGGTCTCTTTGAGTTCTCAGGAAGTCATCTGGACAGATTACTGCCCGCTTTCCCCTTTGCCACTTTATGGTGACTTGATTCCATCCACAAAAATAGAAGTTCAATGCTGGGGACACATCCATGGTCTCAGGAGGCGAAGATGAGAGAATGAGGCCAGTAGTTTGAGAGTTTGAGACCAGTTGGGTAGCATAGTGGGTTCTCCTGACACAAGACACGTTCTCTCTCCCTTGCCCCCCCATTCTTATATAGGAATATATATATAGAGAGAGACCATATATATAATATATATACACATATATTTCCATATCCCCAAGAAATGTCTATAAGGTCAGACAACTAGCCCCCAGGAGAATAACCCTCAATTTGACCTCCAATACTCATCCTCCAGGGGCTCTAAAAATAAAGCAGCCTCAATTAACAGTGGAGGCAAATTAACTTGGCACGTTCATTATCCTTGAGGCTGTTCTTTGTCGTTGAGCATGGCCCTGCCAGGCCAGTGTGTACTCTAATTAGTGCACACTCTGCTGCGGAGAGTGCAATTCCACTCTATTTCATATTCAGCTTGTTTCTTGAAGAGGGAGAAGAATCCAGGCCAACTTCAGCCTTTCATGAGCAGAGCTCATCCTATTCAGGTCACCACCCTCTGTGAACCCCTCTGTCTGGAAGATAGCCAGAGGGGCTAGAAAAGCAAACATGCCAGTCCCACAGGACACCATAGAGTGGGTGAGAGGAGATAATACAGGTGTGTAAGTGCTACAAAACGAGGAGGGAGACAAGTCTTCATATAATAGGTGGGGGAAAAACTAAAGCCCATTGAAATCAGAGACAGTAATATTATAATTGAGAATGCAATTCAACCAACATTTATTGGATGCGTGAACTGTTCAGATGAAGACAAATAAGGCATGATCTCTGCCCTCAAAGAGCTTACAGCCTGGTGGGAATGCATTCATGACTAACAGATGGAAAGTGGGAAGAGTCAGGGTACTTGGAAAGGAGATGCATTCAGTGTCATTAAGAAGAGGGATACATTTGGGATGAGTCTGATCAGGGTACAGGGTCTGCATATATGGGCATATCAGAATGAACCTGCTTATACAATGAATTTACATTAATAAAATGTGGGGAAATTAACATTACTGTTAAATTGTAGATCATAAAGGGCTAAAATTAGGTCAGGTATTCTAAATATTAATATAAATTAATACAAGAAAGCTTATCTAGATTCCTGAAGGACTCTGAGATGTTGAACTCTCCTTTCTGCTTACCGTACTTTTCACGGAGGACCAGCCAGGTTTGCGGGTTGTGTATAATCTCACATACTTGCTCTGCAGGCAATACCGGCATCGGTCCCAGGAGTTGGCTGAAGATGCCTGGCATAACCTTTCCTCTTCCTCCAGATGCTCTTGAACTTCATTCATAAGTTTCAGGGCCTCCTAAATGAAATTAGAAACAGAAGTCCTATTGCCATTTCATCATTCTTTGTGTAGCTTAGTTGGTTTTACTCTTTTAAAGACAGGCATATACTAAGCTACTCACTTCAGTCTTTCTCCTTCAGACCCCTAGATTTGTTCTAGCACTTCTTTCTGTTTGATGAAGGGAAAAGCCACTGGTTGACCCCCATTCAGGACCTTGCAAATTGTATTCATTTACTCATTCATTTGTTTGACAAATAGCGAGTGTTTGCTTTGTGATGGACATTATCCTCCAGACGGTTGAGCCAATAGTCCAGATGTTGTCCCTGTCTGGGGTGAACCTCTGTGATTGAACCTTTTACTTGCCTGTCTTTGGAGGATGTGGAAGTTTAGATTGAATGCTTATAAAACTGGTATATTTTGTTTCTTTCATTTTTGCTGCCTTTTATCGTCCGAAACATGCACTGTCACAGATGAGTGACATTCTAAACCGAGATGCTTGATGCCTGTGAAGCATCTTCATCTTCATCCCAAGCATGCTGCGCCCCCTGGTGGTGGTTGCTGTACATGGCCAGACGGCTGGTCACTCAGGGAGCCGTGCAGCACTGGCACCAGACTCAGCCCCCTGGCTCCTGGAGATCCCCAAAGGCACAGCAGGTCCTTCATGTGCTCCCGACTAGACTACTGGCCTCCCTACAAGTGCAGACCCCCAGGACTGGCTTCTCCATGCCTAGGATGAGTCCAGGAGGAAGACTGTGAGCTAAAGGCCTCCTGCAGGGGAGAAAAGTTTCTGTGCTTAAAACCAATTTATTGTTTGGTTGTTTTCTTTTCTATGTAGCTCAGGGTGGCCTTGAACTTTTATTCCTCCTCCCTCCCTAGCACTGGAATTAGTGTTGCTGTGCTTTTTATTTATTTATTTTACTCAATAGGAAAGGAAAAGATAGTACCCTTCCCTGCTGTAGGAAACATAATGAGTAGGGTCCCTTGGATGCTCTTCCCCATTGCTGTCCAGTGTGGGATCTTCAGCTCCTCATGTAGAGTTCTGGTGCTGAGCCAGAGAGCCTTAGCTACAACCCACATAAGGCAGTGGGAGGGCTCCAGCTTGCCAGATGCAGATTGTGGCCAGGGCTTTGCAGAATGATGCTGCAATCACATCTTATTAGAAACTTTCAGCCAGATGCTGGTAGCTCCTGCCTGTAATCCTAGCTACTCAGAAGACTGGGTTCTGAGGAACCCAGTTCAGAGTCAGCTGGGTCAAGAAAGTTGGTGAGATTCTATTTCCAATTAAGCACCAAAGAAAAATCTAGAAGTGGGGCTGAGCAAAGGAATCTTAGGTCCTGAGTTCAAGCCCTAGGATTGGCACACATGCATGCATGCACGTGCGCGTGCACACACACATACACCCACACACACACAGAATTTTCATTTCCTCCAGGCAGACAGCAAAATCCTCCTGGACTTTCTACTCCATTCCAATTTTGAACGTTTTTCTCATCGTCTCCATAAACCAAAGGCCAATATTCTGAACAGCACTTACTATAGTGCACCCCTGGGAAACTTTCCATATTTAAGCCTCAGTTTCCTTATTTGCAAATCAGAATAACACGATCAACCTCTGAGGGCTTTTCTATTAAGTGAGAGTAGGAATCAAAACACTTATTACAAGTAGCTCCCAGACTTACTTCCTCTGGCCCTTCAGAAGTTTAACAAAGACCATTGACCAACCAGTGCCGCCCAAGCCTTGGAGGACAAGTGTTACTATGGAAGCAGTAGGTCTCTGGTTAAGAATGTCCATTCCATTCCTTCTGCTTCCTCTAACATCCCAGCCATGGACAGAGTCCAGGCTTACAACTCTGACCCTATAGCTTATCAGCATGCATGGCCCGGACATTGTAGGCAAGCCAGGGGTACAATAGAGGTTCCCATTTTAGCACAAGTAAAATGCTGCTGGCGGTAAATATTAACGGGGAGGAGATGAGGCAGACTGTGGTGGTGATGAGTCCCCAAGGGGAGTGGCACCCAGTATTGGAGGGAAACTGGACACCCCACCCCCCACACCAATTCCTCCTAATTTGTCTGAGCCAACCTTTATTCTACATCTAAAGTGATTTGGGGGTAGGTAGGAGACTTAGGGAGAAGCAGGTTTAAAATTTTTCCCAGTTGACTTTCGAGCCACACCCCCCAAATTTAAGAGTCTCATACAATGGGTTTCTAAATGTACGATTTTTAAGAATACATATGCAATTTTTTGCTAGTTGCCAGACTGTTCAGGACCAGAATCGAAGCAGTATTTGCCTCCTCGCTTCTCCCCTGGCAGGAATGTTTTTCTAGCACTGGCCAGGAAGCCAAAGGAAGCGAGCGAATGGGAAAGCCATTGGTTCCACACCCAGGTCTCACATGCACTGCTGGCTTCACCTGGTTCATTCATTCCAGTTGTGAGTGACATGTGAATTAAAGCTCCCACTTCTGCTGTCTGAACTGTAACGTGAAAGTACAGTTGGCCCAGATGCTTGAAGCACATCATGTGGTAATGAGTCTTATATTCATGGCATTGTGTCATTAATCCCAGAGGACTAGATCTATAGGTCCACCAGGGAAGAGTCCATTTTGGAGGTGAAGTGGGGGAGGGAGGACAAAGGGAAACATGTTCTTCAAAATCTTTTGACTGCTGCCAAAGGAGAGCTTGCAGCTGCTGGTTGGGCTGTCTCCTGGCCTTGCCAGGCGCTAGGTGTGGCTACAGTGTGGTGTTAGGCTGACACACAGCTTTGGGGAGTCCCAGCTGTTTAATGGACTTCCAGATGCCACAGTTCTGCAGGAGTGGGGAGATTGCGGCATTGTCCAACTTTCTAAGTATATAAATGTCAGTAAAGATAGAAAGTATTAGAACTTTGCTTGTATTATTTAAAAATTTATGAGGAGAGACCCAATTTATAGCACCACATGCAAACATTAAACATGATGGGTGGAGGGGAAAAGAAGCCTTTGTTTCATAGGCAAAGATTTTCAATTTTTACAAAATGAAAAGAATTCTAAGATGGCATGACAGTCTGAATGGCTGATTCAGTAAAACAGCAAATTCAGTGATGACTGAGAGCAGTCAGGCTGGGTGTAATTGTGCGTGTCTGTAATCCCAACTATTCTGAAGGCAGGAGGCAAAGACTGGGGGACTGCAAATTCAAGGATAACCAGGAAAAGTTAGACCCACGACTGTGAACAAAAGGCTGGGGCTATGGTTTAAGTGGTAAAGTGTAAGACTTTAAACCTCAGTATTGAAACAAAAAAGGTAGCGTTGGGTTGTGGCTCAGTGGCAAAGCAGGTGTATGAAGCCTTAGGTTCAATCACATACACAAAATAAAGCACATACAAAAAATCAAGATAATAAACTTAGTATTTTCGCCACAACTTAACATTTATCGATTTAAAAAACGTCTGATAAAAGGATGTAAACTTACAACCTTCTACTCACACTCAATTTTCTTGCTCACAGCTGGTACTTCACCACTTGAGTCACACTTCTACTCCAGCTTTTTGCTGGTTAATTGGAGATGGAGTCACATGGACTTTTCTCCCCAGTTTGGTTTTAATCACAAGCCTCCAGGTCTCTGCTTCCTAGAGCTAGGATTATAGCTATCAACTATCAGCTCCTGGCTCAATTGAACATTTCTTAAAAAATAAAATGTAGGGATTGACATAGTGGTACAGCCTGTAGTCCCAGCTGTGAGAGAGGCTGAAATAGGGAGATGCAGGGCCTAGCTAAAAAAAAATCTTGGTGAGAACTTATCTCACAAAAGCAGCTGGTCATTGTAGCATACCCCTGTAATCCCAGCTAGGAGGGAATTATAGATAGGAGGCTCATGGTCTGAGGTGGGTCTGGCAAAAGCTCCAGACTTTAGTGAAAAATAAACTAAAACAGAAAGGGGTAAGGGTGTGGTCCAAATGGTAGAGTACCTCACTAACTATCAACATGAGAATTTAAAATATCTTCCAAATTTATTCTCGTTACAGTTTTTCTTTTTCATAATAGATACTGTGGAGGCTTGAGCAGTAGAGCCCCTGACTAGCAAGCATCAAGACCTGAGTTTAAACCCTAGTATCACACACACACAGAGATAAGATAACGTCAGAACAGAATCTCCTCCACTCTAGTTTTTGCTTTGCTTATTGGTTTATATCAGTTATATAGGAGGAATTTCTCATATTTCCAAACATTTTATACTATATATTTAGTTTATTTCAGCCCCTCTATCACATTCCCTACCCCTGTCCCCCTACAAAAGTACCCCCAACAGTTTTCCTTGTTCCATTTTTACATTTTCAAATAATCTATTTTGACAATAATCTCTCCCTTTATGTCCTTCCCCTTACTAGTTTGTACCCAATAGCATGGCATATTTCTATTTTAAAAAATATTTCTTTGAGCCGGGCGCTGGTGGCTCACGCCTGTAATCCTAGCTACTCAGGAGGCTGAGATCTGAGGATCGCGGTTCAAAGCCAGCCCGGCAGGAGAGACCGTGAGACTCCTATCTCCAATAAACCACCAGAAAACCGGAAATGGCGCTGTAGCTCAAGTGGTAGAGTGCTTGCTTTGAGCTGAAGAGCTGCGGGACAGCGCCCAGGCCCAGAGTTCAAGCCCCACGACCGACCAAAAAAAAAAAAAAAAATATATATATATATATATATATATATATTTCTTTGAGCCAGGTGCTGGTGGCTCATACCTGTAATCCTAGCTACTCAGGAGGCTGAGATCTGAGGATCAAGGTTCAAAGCCAGCCCAGGCAACAAAGGCCATGAGACTCTTATCTCCAATTAACTACCAGGAAACTGGAAGTGGCACTGTGGGTCAAAGTAGTAAAGGTTGGCATTGAGCAGAAGGCTCCAGGCTTGAAGCCCAAACCCCAAGTTCAAGGCCCATGACAGACAAAAAAAAAATATATTGCATAATGATTAATGTTATTAAACTATGCAGTGTCCATAGTTTAGAAATGTACTAAGCTTTATGTAGTAGCTTATGGTCAAGTTACAACATCTTCCAAGAACATTTGAATGCATATTCTTGATTAAAAAAAACACGTAGTTTGAAGTACAACTATTAAGTAAAGCTATTGAATGTCTCTAAAATAGATGGGAGGTAGATAAGCGATAAGAGTAGCATAGCACCTCTGGGTATAGCTCAGTGGTGGAGTATTGGATTAGCATACACTAGCACTGCAAAACCCAAAACTGGACTAAGTTGGTACAACATCATCATCATCATCATCATCACCATCATCATTATTATTTTGTCAGTCATGGGGCCTGAACTCTGGGCCTGGGCGCTGTCCCTCAGCTCTTCAGCTCAAGGCTAGCACTCTATCACTTGAGCCACAACACCACTTCTGGCTTTATCTATTTATGTGGTGCTGAAGAATCAAACCCAAGGCCTCATGTATGCAAATCAAGCACTCTACCACTGAACCACCTTCACAGACCAGTCGGTACATTATTTAATACACACTGGTCCTCTCTCTCTCAAGGAGTTCCTGTCAAACATCCCATGAGCTACCTGTCTGTGGGGACCTTGGGGAAGAGGGAGGGATGTCCTTCTACATTCTAGAAGCATTGATCAGTGCTTGCTTACTCTCTATTCATCTGCAGCTGTTACAGTAAGAGGACTCAGGGCCCTGATGAATTTTATCACCTAGCTGTAAGTAAACTGACCCTCATTGGTTGGATTGGAGACTGTCCACTAGATGGGTCTGCATGCCTGCAGACATGCTGGCATACGTGTGTAACCCCAGCTACTTGGGAGGCATAAGTAAGAGGATCGTGGCTTAGGAAACTGACCCAGGCAAAAGCATGAGACCCAGCACTTGTTTAGCAAAGGCCTTGAGTTAAAAATTTAAAAAAAAGTACCTCAGTACTACCAAAAAAAAACCCCTACCTTTAAAAAAAACATACAAATAATGGAAGTTTACAATGTTTCATTACAAACTCTTTTTTGGCCATGCAACAAGGTAAACTGATGATCTCATTGGAGCTGGCAAGTTAACTAAAACTTTCAATACATCTATGAGACTATTTGCAGTATGGATTTGATGAGCTTTACTCTTAATGTGTATTGTGCGTTGGAACACTAATGGTAGCAATTCATGCATCTTAAATTGTGGATAAATTAGAGGGAATAGCTTTAGGAATAAGGGCTAAAATTCTCTTTAGCAATAGGGATGGAACATCAAAAAACTTTGGAGACCTGTGAGCTTGATCTAGCCCCAAACTCCCTGTGAACACTTTTGACTTGATAACTGAGATGGGGCCGAGAATAAAGACTTTTTGAGAAAGCACCGCTTCTCACACAGGAATGAATCCACAAATGCCATGTTTGGAGTCCTGCAAAGACTTGTTCTAATAAGGAATAAGTTCTTTCAGGGAATGCGAAGGTATTTTTCAAGCTTTCCTCCAATCAAAGCTGTTTTCAGCTGAGTGTGGGTGGCTCATGCCTATAATCCTAGTTATTCAGGAGGCTGAGATCCGAGGATCAAGGTTCTAAGCCCAGACATAAAAGTCAAAGAGACTCTTATCTCCAACTAACTAGCAAAATGCTGAACTAGAGGCATAGCTCAAGTGGCAGAGCACTAGCCTTGAGCAAAGAAAAACAGAGGAGGAGGGGTGAAAGCACAAAGTCCCAAGTTTAAACTCTAGTATTAGTACAAATAATGCTGTTTATGGCAGGCTGAGGTCAGAGGAGTCACAATTTGAGCCCAGAGCAAAAAGGAGTTGAGAGCCCCAACTCAACCAATAAAAATCTCAATGCAGCTGTCAGTCCAGCTGTATGGGAAGTGTAAAAAGGAGGATCATGGTCTGGGCCAGCCTATGCAAAAAGACCCTATCTGAAAAATAATGAATGCAAAACTGGGCTGGGATCATGGTTTCAGTGGTAGAGTACTTTTCTCAGCAAGTGTAAAGCCTTAAGTTCAACCCCAAAGTTGCTCGTCAAAAAAATTACCAGTAAGGAAAATGGGTAACTTGCCAATTTCATGACAAGGGCGCATTTAGAGCTCAGATATGTTTTAAGAACAAACAGATGTTATTTTTCACTACAGCACCTGCTTTTCTTCCTTGCACTTCTTCAAGGTTTCCATGAGTTTGCCATGCTCCTCTTCTCTCCTTCCCATCATGATTCTCATCTGCTTCATCCCCATCAAAGCCTTCTTCAGCTCTCCACCTGCATCTGTCTCTCCCTCCTCCAACAAACCTACAAGACATGGTGTAGGTTTTCAGAATCTGATCAGATTACACAACAGTGAAATCCCTAATCTTTCCTGTCTTCTGAATAGAGGCTTCATTGTTCTCTTATAGCCTTGTACTCTGGAAGCTAGTCATAATGAACTAGCTGTCAGCCTCTACGTGGACGCAGCCACTACATGGACCCAGCTATTTTTTTTTTTTTTTGGTTGGTTGTGGGGCTTGAACTCTGAGCTTGGGCGCTGTCCCTCAGCTCTTCAGCTCAAGGCAAACACTCTACCGCTTGAGCCACAGCGCCATTTCCAGTTTTCTAGTGTTTTTATTGGAGATAAGGGTCTCATGGACTTTCCTTGCCCGGGCTGGCTTTGAACCGTGATCCTCAGATCTCAGCCTCCTGAGTAGCTAGGATTACAGGCGTGAGCCACTGTCGCCCGGCGGACCCAGCTATTTTTGAGTGCTCTATATAGTTTTTGGTTTTATTTTGTTGGTCGTGGGGCTTGAACTCTGGGCCTGGGCGTTGTCCCTCAGCTCTTCAACTCAAGGCGAGCGCTCTACCACTTGAGCCACAGCGCCACTTCCCCAGCTATTTTTATATTATAGAAAGCTCCAAATATTTCTCAAAAACTTGAGGGTTTCCACTGGGAACTTTAATTACCTTCGTGTGTGTGTGTGTGTGTGTGTGTGTGTGTGTGTGTGTGTGTGTGTGTGTGTGTCCTGGAGCTTGACCTCAGGGCCTGGGCTCTTTTGCTCAAAGCTAGCATTCTTCCACTTGAGTCATAGCTCCACTTCCTGCTTTTTTTTTTTTTTTTTTTTAATGTAGTTAACTGGAGATAAGTCTCACAGGCTTTCCTACCCAGGCTGGTTTTGAACTGTGATCCCCAGATTTCAGCCTCCAAGTTGCTAGGATTACTGGAATGAGCTACTAGCATCCAGCCTGCCTTCCTTTGTGAACTGCAATTATCTTCCAAGAACAAGTATCTCATGAATTACATGAGTCCTCAATACCTAATAGACACTCTTTCCTATCATTCTTAAACCCTCAGCAGGGACCATGTTCATGGGCACATTCTCTTAGTAGCCAGTATGGCTTCCCCATGAGCTTACTCCTGCTTCTGAGTTTAACTCTAGACCAGGTCAACTCCATTTGAGCTCATTTCTTCTTCTAAGGGTTAAGGACCTAAAACCCATATCTCCAGACAAAGGCACAAGCAAATGGACATACCACACACTGTACTTAGAACTCCCTCCCAGACTTGTTTAAGAACAATGACACACATTACTCTAATGGTTCAAATTTTTTAAATGCTAGAAAAAAATTTTTCACTGTTCATTAAAGCCGTGCTAAGATGACACCAAACATCTGGAAAGACCCAAACCAGCCTGTCCAAAAGCTGGCCCGTTGTGTCTCTGCAATAGCCAACATCTGGATATGTGAATGCTCACGCACGGAGACCTGGTTGGAATTTTCTATCTTGATCCAGATGTTTGGTGTCATGACGACTTGGCTGAAGTGCCTGGAGACCATTCCAAGGTGAACTGTATTGAACACAGTTATCTCTCAACTGGGAGTCTGTAGAAATCCCAGCGGGGCAGGAAACAGCACACATGAAACAGCACAGATAAGAAAGCAGGCAGACCCTTCAGATTTCCACCGAGAGCAGTTCTGTCCTTCCAAGTAGGTGCACAAGGGCAATCTTCCCAGCACAACAGACAGGCAGCAAACACCAAGAGCATTGGCTTCATGTTCCGGATCTGTTCTATGAAGGAGCAAGAAACCCACATCAGATGTCTTCTGTTCGCATTAATTCAAACCACATGCTCTTCCAGAACACTATTCTGTTCATTTTTTTTATGACTTTAGACACTTTATGCTAAAAAGACATAAAGAAGCTTAAAAGATAGCCTGGTTTGATAATGACCAGCATGGCTGGTGGTACCACAAGCACAAAGCCCTTAGTTCAAGCTTCAGCATTACATAAAAATTAAAAATTTATTTTAAAATAATTTAAAATTATATTTTAAAAAACCCTTGTAACCTTAGCTACTCAGAAGGCTGAGGTCTGAGGTTCATGGTTCAAAGGCAGCCTGGGAAGAAAAATCCATGAGACTCATCTCTAATTAACCAGCCAAAAGCCAGAAGTGGAGCTGTCGCTCAAGTTGGTAGAGCACCAGCTTTGAGTTAAAAAAAAGCCATGCAACAGTGCAAGGACCTGAGTTTAAGCCCTAGTAGCTGAGTGTGCGCATGCGCGCAGACACACACATACATACAAAGTTAAAAACCCGAACAAACTTGAGCTCCTATTGAGTTTACATTCTGTGACAGTTAAGGTCACTTTCTGAAGTTTTTGACAATCAAGGCAAGGAGCAGTGTGGCTGACTGTCTCACAGAGTCCAAATCAGTTCATTTCCTTACCAACGGTAAGCATCTCTAAAGACAGAATTAGATTATGTCAGAGTTTTCTTCCAACATTCTGAGTCCTCGAGTTCTTGCATGGAAACATTATGACTTACTCTTTTTGAAAGAAAAATCCATCATACACATTTTTCTAGGACTTCTAATTCAACCTATCATGCTGGATGGGCATGCACCGTTACATTATTTTTCCTTAGATAATGGATTTCTGCGTCAATTTAACTTGATATACACTACTTTATATCTTAAATACAAATATTGAAAACTTTACTAAGGCGAGATAAAGCAACTGAACGCTTTAATAAAGTCAAACCTGAATATAAGAGGAGTTATCTTACTTTCCCTAAAGGGGGGTATTTATCTACTTTATGCATATTTGCTATGTCTTAAAAACAAGACTCCATTCCTTTTTTTTTTTTTTTTGGTCATAGGGCTTGAAATCCAGGTTTAGGCGCTGTCCTGCGCTCTTCAGCTCAAGGCAAGCGCTCTACTGCTTGAGCTACAGCGCCACTTCCAGTTTTTTAGTGGTCTAATGGAGAGAAGAGTCTCACGGACTTTCCTGCCTGGGCTGGCTTTGAACTGCAATCCTCAGATATCAGCCTCCTGAGTAGCTAGGATTACAGGCCTGAGCCACCAGCACCCAGCAAGATTCCATTCTTTAAATCAAGATTTGTGATAGTTTTTAAATACAGTATTAATATATCAGCTGTTAGCTGGATCCTGGAGGTTCACACCTATAATTATATCGTAGCTACTGGGGAGGCTGAGATCTGAGGATCATGCTTCAAAGTTAGCTCAGACAGCAAAGTCATAAGATTCTTATCCTAATTAACTACCAAAACACTTGGAAATGGACCTGTGTCTCCAAGAGGACTAGCCTTGAGTACAAGAGCTCAAGGTCAGTGCCCAGGCCCTGAGTTCAAGCCCAAGGACTGACCCACATACACACAAAACCAAAAACAAAAAGCCATCTGTTTGCCAGACACTGATGGCTCATGTCTTTAATCCTAGTGATTCAGGATAATGAGATCTGAAGGCTATGGTTTGAAGCCAGACTAGATATAAAAGTCTGTGAGATTCTTACCTTCAATTAACCAACAAAAAGCAAGAAGTGGAACTGGGGCTCAAGTGGTAGACTTGAACAAAAAGCTCAGAGACAGTGCCCTGAGTTTAAACCCCAAGACTGGTACAAAACAAAACAAACAGCTGTACTAGTAGTTAAATAATTCTGACATGTCATTTGAGCTTTATCTGTTTTATGATAAAAGCTAGAGATTGAGCCTGGAGCCTCACACTTGCTAGGCAAGCACACTACCACTTGAGTCATGCCCCCAGCTCCTCTTTCTACTAATGTCCTGTTTATCAAAGGAAAGTCTTAATATATTTACCACGAACTTTGTAGTCTCTTCTCAGAGAAGTTTCCAGTAGCTTCCAGAAAGACCTTCACTTTCTCCTGGTTTAGTTTTTATCGGTGTCTGGGATTTGGCCTTGTTATATTAAGTTGATGACACAGTTCTTAATCCTATTAAACCAGTTTTTTGAGATTAAGGATAAGGTTTACAATTGGTAGTGTTTAAAATGCAACACTAGGGGGCAGGCTGGGCACATGACCAGGAACCATGACCTTGTCCTACCTTATTTTACACAAATATGTTTTGATGGGACTCACTAAAGTCTTTTAACATTTTTTTTTAAATTTCAAAGTTATAACATGTATATTTATATAGAGGAAAATCAAATCTCTTAAAGTTGGAAATAGAAGCAACAAGGTGAAAGCAAGTAATCTGTTAGGTGAAACAGTTTGAAAAGCATTTGTTTACATAGTTATTTGACTTTATTTTATTATAAGAAGTGAGAGTTAAGGTAGGTACTAGTGGCTCACATCTGTAATCTTAGCTATTTGAGAGGCTGAGATCAGGATGGTAAAGGTTGGAGAACAGCTCAGACAGAAAAGTCCTCAAGTCTTCAAAACAACAACAACCACCCTAGCAAAATGCTACACTAATGATGTGGTTCAAGTGGAAGAACACCAACCCAGCAAACAAGTCAAGCAGGTGAGAGGCCCCAAGTTCAAATCTGAAAATGAGTTATAGAGAAATAAGGTTATTTTTTTACTAATAGGTATGATAAAACTGAATATATAAACAAGACAGTAGTAGCAAGTATTTCATGCTCATTACAGTTTGATAATTGATTAGCTGAACTGACAACATGGCTTCTTGGTAATTCATTTGAAAACAGCTCAGAGAGCTGCTAGTCACAGTTAGTTGGAGAATCTACAGGGAGTGATCTCAATGGCTACTCAGAAACCAGCCACTCAACACTTAATACATGTTTAGTACTTTCCTAAAGGCATAGATCTTGACAGTTCTTTTTTTTGGTCGGTCATGGGGCTTGAACTCTGGGCCTGGGCCCTGGGCGCTGTCCCTCAGCTTTTCAGCTCAAAGCTAGTACTCGACCACTTGAGCCATAATGCCACTTCTGGCTTTTTCTGTTTATGTGGTGCTGAGGAATGAAACCCAGGGCCTCATGCATGCGAGGCAAGCATTCTACCACTGAGCCATCTTCCCAGCCCCAGATGTTGGCAGTTCTGAACTGATCCATATACCTTTTGGGGAAATCTTAGCAGTTGATGCTTGTTTCTGGGCAACTTGGAGTCTGGAGTTCATCTCTGCTCTGCTTGGTTACAGAAAGTAAGAAATTATAGAAACACTCTAAGTCTAGCCCACACCCCTAAATACCCATATATTTCTCTTTTACTTGGAAACCTCTTGGCACTGTGGAAAAACATCCACTCAGCACAAAACTTGAATTATTCTTATTTTCAAACAGCTTAATGTTACCTTAGAGCAACTGCAATGTGCACCTCTAGGCAGGGATGTCCTGGTTGGCAGTGGCATATAGGGAATGAGAAGCACAGTTCTGGAAAAGTCATTGGCCAAAAGCTGCCCAGCTCTGCTCCAGCCCTCTATACCCTCACTCCTTAGTTCATTGTTGTCCAAGTTCAGGGCCAGTTGAGGCCAGGCCTGGTATCAACACATTCAGTTATGGGGCTTGAACTTAGGGCCTGGACACTGTTCCTGAGCTTCTGTCCTCAAGACTACATTCTATCATTTTGAGCCATAGATCCACTTCTGGTTTTCTGGTGGTTAATTGGAGATAAGAGTCTCACAGGCCAGGTGCAGATGGTTCACACCTGTAATCCCAGCTACTCAGGAGGCTGAGATCTGAGGACCCTGGTTCAAATCCAGACCAAGCATATAAATCCAAGAAACTCTTACTTCCAATCAGCTAGCAAAAAGCCAGAACAGGAGGCCTGGCTCCAATGAGCAAAAAAGGCTAAACAAGAGTGTGAGGCCCTGAGTTCAAGCTCTAGTACCAAGATTAAAAAAATTAACATAGTAAATTATATATATACATATATATATATATATATATATTTTTTTTTTTTTTTTTTTTTTGTCGGTCATGGGGCTTGAACTCTGGGCCTGGGCGCTGTCCCTCAGCTCTTCAGCTCAAGGCGAGCGCTCTACCACTTGAGCTACAGCACCACTTCCGGTTTTCTGGTGGTTTATTGGAGATAGGAGTCTCACGGTCTTTCCTGCCTGGGCTGGCTTTGAACCGCGATCCTCAGATCTCAGCCTCCTGAGTAGCTAGGATTACAGGCGTGAGCCACCAGCGCCCAGCAGTAAATTTTATATATAAATGCCACAATTAAAAATTCTAGCAGAAACTGAGCACAAGTAGCTTGCGCCTGTAATCCTAGCTACTCAGGGCGGCTGAGATCTGGGTATTGTGGTTTGAAGCCAGCATGGGCAGGAAAGTCTGTGAAACTCTTATTTCCAATTAACTACCAGAAAAGTGGAAGTGGCGCTGTGGCTTAAGTGACAGAGTGCTACCCTTGACTACAAAAGCTCAGGGACAGCGCCCATGCTCTGAGTTCAAGACCCATGACCTAAAAAAAGGGTCTCACAGACTTTACTGTCTGGGCTGGCTTCAAACCTCAGTCCTCAGATCTCAACCTCCTGAGTAGCTAGGATTATAGGCGTGAACCACCAGCTCCTGTTGCACATTACTTTTCATAAAAAACCCAAACTGTATTGAAAATAGTACCCATTATTTAAGAAATCCCTCTAGTAGCACATTTTTTGTCTTTAGTCCATGTTTCCCTTTATGGGTAATTTCTGAGAACAGAACTTCCTGGCTAACTAGTGCTAATTACTTTAGAAAATATCATCTTGAAGCTTCTGTGAAATTTCTTCCTCTAATTACTTCATCTGTTTTCACAGCTGCCATTTTATTCTTAAAATTAAGAAATACTTCGTGTGTC